AAAAGACACACTGAAAGACCATCGGGAACTGCAGATCAGCATCCTTCTAGCTTGCTGCAATCCCTCTGTGATAGCTTCTCTGGAAAGAGGGGGCTACTTGGGAAGCGCAAGTAAAGACAAGCACGAATTGCTGTTTCACAGCGTGCACAGTGCTGTCCAGTTTGCAAGAGAGAGGGAAGTTTTAATGGACGATTCAGTTGTATAGTCTGCGGCCCTCCACTGGCAGCTGAGGATTTCTGCATTCACTGCAAATAGGTTGTGGTCTTCAACACACTGAGACCTGGAGCCCTCCTTGGAGCACAGTGCGAAATATGGGACCACTTTCAAAGTGTTCAACTTTTATGGATACCCAGTACTACAAATGCAACCCAATGTATTTTAATCTTAAAAGCTAGGTCAGTAAACATACATAGCGCCAGTTCAGACATAACATTACACCATTGTTTAGTGTGCCTGGAATGTGCTCCAGGAAGTGCTTCTCTTCCTCCATCTACAAAACCAATTTTCTGTTCTGTACCAGCTCAGGAAACCGGTTCATTCCAAGTGCAAACAAACGGGATCAAGGTGTGGTTTCAGATCCTAGTTTGGCAACCAACCTTGATTCAGAATCATAGTGACATTCCCATTGTTTATTGTTATATCCGACCCAAGACATAGTGGTCCCTCAAGATTACATTTATTTCACTGCAAGGCTGTTTTGTTCTGAGAGCTATCCTTGATTAAACTTCTTGCTGGGAGGGGCCAGGCTTTATCAAACAGATAACCCCATAGATCAGTGGCTGTCAACCAGTGTGCCGTGGCACCCTGGGGTGCCTTGAATGATGGTCAGGGGTGCAACACTGGCCTTTGTCTCTCTTTCCTTCCCTCCCTCCTCTGATGCCCTCTCCCTCTCTGCCTCCCCAAGGCTTGCATAGCAGTTTGTTGCAACAGCCCTGGCTACCAGCTCCTCAGGCGAATGGTGCCTCTGGTAGGCAACTCTTCGGGGCAAGGGGTGGGGGCAGCTCAGAGACAAGGGGCCAGCAGCAGCGGCTGCCCAGAGGACTCCCAAGGAGAGGGGAGAGGCGAGGAGGCTGAGGGAACACTCCACAAGGGTGTTCGAAAAAGGGTGAGAGGCTGCCGGCTCTGCAGGCAATGGGTGACATAACTGGGCTCCAGAGCCCCACAGGGGTACCAGCAGAGGGAATGTACAGTGGTACCTCGCAAGACGAATGCCTCGCAAGACAAAAAAACTCGCTAGACGAAAGGGTTTTTTGTTTTTTGAGCTGCTTCGCAAGACGATTTTCCCTATGGGCTTGCTTCGCAAGACGGAAACGTCTTGCAAGTTTGTTTCCTTTTTCTTAACACCGTTAATACAGTTGCGACTTGACTTCGAGGAGCAACTCATAGAACGCGGTGGTGGTAGCCTTTTTTGAGGTTTTTAAAGACTTTGGTGATTTTTTTAAGCTTTTCCAAAACTTTCCCGACACCGTGCTTCGCAAGACGAAAAAAATTGCAAGGCGACAAAACTCGCGGAATGAATTTCGTCTTGCAAGGCACCACTGTAGTTGGCTAAGGGAGCCATGGACTCAAAAGGTTGAAAACCTCTGCCATAGATCATAGCTTCACTGGGCTCTCTTTGCTCACTGAGAGGCAGAACGCTTGCAAGTCTCCTGCCAAGATGGATATTTTAAACATGTGGCATTTAGGAGATGGCCCAAGATACTCTGGAATCAGACACAAATCCAAATAGTGCTCATCCCTCACTGAGACATGCACACATAAGATAATAGAACCTGAACAAACTACACACTTGATTTTACCAGTGCAGCAGTACTGAACTAGCATGGACCAGCACTGATAAAGATAATGGTCTCGCCCTCCCATCTCACTCTTCTATGTATGCCTACAGATGAAGGGGAGGGTTTTTTCCTCCACCAGAGAATGATTTGGGGAGGTGGAAGGTATTCTAGCTCAGTAGATATAAATCAGATCTGTCGGTGCCTCAAACTATTTGGAGCTTCTAAGAAACCAGCACGGGTGGCGCTGAGGGTTAAAAGACAGAGCATAGGGCTTGCCGATCGGAAGGTCGGCGGTTCAAATCCCCGTGACGGGGTGAGCTCCCGTTTCTCGGTCTCTGCTCCTGCCAGCCTAGCAGTTCGAAAGCACGTCAAAGTACAAGTAGATAAATAGGTACCGCTCCGGCGGGAAGGTAAACGGCGTTTCCGTGCGCTGCTCTGGTTCCCCAGAAGCGGCTTAGTCATGTTGGCCACATGACCCAGAAGCTGTACGCCGGATCCCTCGGCCAATAAAGCGAGATGAGCGCCGCAACCCCAGAGTTGGCCACGACTGGACCTACTCATCAGGGGTCCCTTTACCTTTACCTTACTCTGGAATTTGTTTTGAATACCAGGACTGAGGTCTGAAATATGTGAAGTAATAATTAAAAAGTGTGCCTCCAGGCATGTGCAAAGTGCCTTCTCCTCAATCCCGAGCTAGTGCAGCCTATTCCCACATATTTCAGATTAAGAAGCAGAGCTTTGCCTCCTATCCTCCTGGTGGTACAGCAGTACGACTGCTAGCAAATTTGCAAAGCTAAGCAGGGTCAGGTATGGTTTCAGTGACCTCCCCCACCCCCCAAAAAAGCTAAACAACTTAATTTCTTTATTTTGGGTTAAATACACGAAAAAATACGGTATATCCTGGTCTTATACACGAAAAAAATACGGTATATCCTGGTCTTGGAAGTTGGGAGAAGCAGGTGGGAGCTACCCAGGCCAGCCACACTTTGTGGACTCTGAACAATCTGTAAATTTGTGCTCTTCTCTCGGTTCTGCCGGCCTTAAACAAACCACTGAAAAGCCTTCTTGTGGATTTAGCAGTGCCTGTCAATGACTCCTCCTATCCTCTTTCTACTTTGGAGGGTGGGAAAAACCCCTAGAACAGATTTAGGGGGCGTATGAGGGGAGGAGAGGAGGGAACATTCTATTGTACAATGAGAAAGCCTTGCGCTGATGGAACTATTTACTTAGCAGGATGCTGAATACAATTCAATGGTTCTAGCTTAGTCAACTAGAATACCTCAGAATAGAGCATGTGAAGAATGCTGTTGTTATTTTAACTTGCAGGAACACTCAAGTGTGCAACAAAACCACCACCAGGTAATTTGTAGTACAGCCTCTTAAAACATGTAAGGTCAGCACATTTCAGTTTGCAATGTACTAACTCGGCTATTTCTTATATTTTGTGTTCTAAATCCCCTCTATTTAACCCTCCAAAATAAGCAGCCCACTGTCTATATAACCAGTTTAAGCCCTGGAAACTATTCCGTAACATACATAATGATTTATCACAGTGTTACCAACATTTACTAAATTAATCTGGAATCAGAGTATTGACAAAGCTTTTTAAATACACATTAAACTGGAGAACTTTTTTCAAATCATAGTATTACTTAGAACTTGGCAAAAATTAACAATGAAAAGGTTTTGTTTTGCTCATTGCATAGTAAACGATTGCCGCCCATATATATGCAAGTTCATTTCTTGATGTGGAGTTATTTTCTAAGCGAGCTGCTGCTATGTGCTTTGTGCTTTTAATATTTTTAAAAAATATATGATGTATTGTATTGTTGGCAGCAACTGACCTTCAGATGGACTTTTCAACAATAACAAAAAAGTACACTTTGGCAGAAAATATAAAACATTTAAGAGTACTGTTGTCATGTTATGTTCTTGAATGCTATGAAGAGATCACATTCTTCCAGAATGTAGGGTGGAACTGAGCAAGAAGTTGCAAAGCTGGATTCCTGTTTGCATCCCATATGAATGGGAGCCATGCTCAAGAAAGCGATAATCATTCTTTGTCATGCCATACCATGCATGAATATCATTGAAAACGAAGTATCTTTGATACCATTGAAAAACAATACCGTTAGAAGCATAGATTTGAAAATAAGGGATCAGCAGCCAAAATAAGGGATTTTCCAGGCACAGGTATGTTCAACTTCTGAGCCCCTCCGAGCCAAAGGCAGAAAGCTCAGCCAGCAGCCAAACAAAGCCTCAAGCGGTGGTTCCCACAGCACGGCAACCCGGCAAAGGGGATGCAGCAAGGAAAACCACCGTCACTTCTCCGCTGGGAAGCGCTGAGCAAAGGCGAGTCCCCAGGCAACGCGGCCAATTTGATCGGCACAAGGCATGCAAGCTCCACCCCCCAGTCGTTCTTAGACTCCTTATTGGGTGAGCAACGCAGCCCCGCAACACAGTTGGAGCCTCCCTCCTCCCTGGCCAGCAGGGAGGGAGGGAGAGGAGCTGCCTCCTTTGAAACCCGGGAAATTTAAGGGACATCATCAACAAGGGACAGCAGCGGGACACAGCGCTGGGATAAGGGAGTTTCCCACCAAATAAGGGACGGTTGACAGCTATGGTTAGAAGAGGTCTCTAACAGACAGCACGTGGTCAGGTTTCTATCAGAATAAACCTTACTGTCAAAAATGCTTATGGTTCTCTGTCACGGAGCCCTTGCGTGTATAGCAGAGAACCAATGAAGCCTCGTGGAAACTACTCATTTTTATATTGATAAGCTCCCAAGGCACACCATTTAGAACCCTTAAAAATTTGAAATCCCATCCCATTTGTGTCCAGCCAGGCAGACTGGTACCTTCTGTGGATTTATTTGAAGGGTTAAAGTTAAATCCTTTTTAAAATACCCTTCCACCTAAGCGCTCCCTCCAAAGATGGAATAGTTCCACCATCTCCTCTTCACACAATTTACCAGGTCAGTCCAGTTTAACTAAGACTATAGTAGGGTTGCCATACATATCCGGAATACTGCAGTCGGCAGCAGTGTCTGGACAGAAATGGGGGGGGGGGGATTCTGGGGAAATCCGGACGTATGGTAGCTCATGTTAGGAGTGCTGTCTTTCCATAAAAACAGCTCAGAAACAGCATTTTTTCCCCTGGTGATTTTGCCCAAAAAGCTCAACAACTTTGGCAAAAAAGAAAGAAAGAGAGAATTTAACTTACCTGACTTGAATAAGTTCCAGGAGCCAGTGGATTCGAATTTGCTCGATGCCATTGTGTGGCACAGAAGAAATATAAGCCAGGTTAATTATTTGGTCTTTGCTGAGATCAAATAAATCTGCTTTCCTGTGTGGTAGAGGAGGACTGAAAAGATGAGGAAAGTAATATTAATTAGAATAAAAGAGAAAGAAAAGAGTTTAATATCAAAGCCAAAAAACCAACAAATACAAAAAGAAATTAAAGCTTTGCCGACTCAATTTTCTCTAATTATAAATCAAAAAATAGAATGGAAAATAAAATTAATGAAAGAGAGAAATTTTGAATCTGCAAATAAGTGTGGGAAATTGTTGGCCTGGCAATTAAAAAGAGGCAGAAACAAAATACTATTACAAATATTGTATCTGATGGAAAATCTGTGGCCTCCCTGTTGATCTCCTAGAAAAGGTGCAGGAAACATATAGCAGCATGGAAGAGCTGCGGGCGAACCTCTCCAGTGCCAAATCCTTGAAGGACCTTCCCAGTGGTAGCCTGAAGGAGAGCCAGGAGAAGATTGGGAAGGCCCAGGAGACCATATTTGAGACCCTGGAATACGTGATTGTGACAACATTGGTGGCTGGGTCCTTTTTTCCTGCTCAAACCTCTATGGAAGAATCTGAAAAGGAGGCAAAGGCAGAGGCCTAAAAGAGTGCCAGTCGTGGGGTTGTGCTTGGAACTTGTCTACTACTCTTGGACCAATATGTAGCATAAGGATTCTGACTTCTGGAAAAGTGTAAGAACTAAAATTGTCCCTAATGGTAAATTCCTTAGACTGGTGATGTTTCTAGGGAATGAGAGATGCTTCCAAATGGTTTAAAACAAACTGTTTATCAAATTTGCACGCACCGTATGTTTAAAGTTCATGACTTCACCCTCACCTTCCAAAATCCTGGGAACTGTAATTTGTTATGGGTGCTCTGTGAAGAGCAATCTACAGTTGCCAGGATCCTTTGGGGAGACCATGTGCTTTAAATCTATGGTGTGTACACAACTGTACTCCTTTCTGATAATTATATTGAGCAAAGCCTTATATCTACAAATCCAAAGGTTCAACATGACCTTGTCTGACGAGCTGCAGAAATCTTAAGGGGCCTGCCATGTGGGGGGCAAATACCGATGCAAGGCTATTTAAATGTGTCTTGAGAATTTTGTAAATAAAGCGTAGTGAAAAAAAGAAAAGAAAAAAAGAATAGTGCTTTTGATTGTTCAAATACCTTCACATATATTATTTCAGCAATCCTTCCAACACCCTTGCTAGGTGGGTCAGTATTATCTCTATGTTGCAAGTGAGGGTTGCAATGGGGGGGGGTTGGCTGTGTTTGGAGCCTCCTCCCCCCCCCCCCCCGCCTTCATGCAGCCAGCAAATGAACCAGGAAGTCTTTCCATTAATGATAGCTTCCCATTTTGTACAACCAAATATTGGTTTAATATTCTGGCTTGTTCTTATGGAACAGGAAACCATGATTAATTTAAGACTCTTGGTTTAATTACAACTAGCAAGAAGGAGCTGTGTATGCGGTTAGAAAGCTTGTGTATATTTGCTTCAAAATCCAAGTAGTTACAGTTTTTTGAATTGGCTCAGTGAAGAGCTTGGGTTTGCCAACTGAATTCATGGGGGGGGGTAAGGTTTCTTCCAAGGCCTGCTTATTTGTTTTGTAACACAACAAAATCCTCAATAAAAACGAATTTAAAAAATAAAATAAAAGATGCACAAGTGGCTTTTGATGGCTGGTGAGTACTAGCTAAGCTAGACACAGCATTCGCAGGGGCAGGGAATACTGCAAAGAAATTGCTTGCTAGCATAGTCAGTATGCGGGACGCGGGTGGCGCTGTGGTCTGAACCACTGAGCCTCTTGGGCTTGCCGATCAGATCATCTGCGACTGGACTTAACTGTCAGGGGCCCTTTACCTTTTTATAGCCAATATATCAGAGCTTTCCAAACTTTTCATGTTGTTGACACTTTTTAGACCTGCATCATTTTGCGACACAGTAATTCAGTTTTATAGGGACGCAGGTGGCGCTGTGGGTTAAACCACAGAGCCTAGGACTTGCTGATCAGAAGGTCAGCGGTTCGAATCCCCATGACGGGGTGAGCTCCCGTTGCTCAGTCCCTGCTCCTGCCAACCTAGCAGTTCGAAAGCACGTCAAAGTGCAAGTAGATAAATAGGTACCGCTCCGGCAGGAAGGTAAACGGCGTTTCCGTGCGCTGCTCTGGTTCGCCAGAAGCGGCTTAGTCATGCTGGCCACATGACCTGGAAGATGTATGCCGGCTCCCTCGGCCAATAAAGCGAGATGAGCGCAGGAACCCCAGAGTTTTACCTAATGGTCAGGGGTCCCTTTACCTTTAATTCAGTTTTACTAGTAAACTGGAGTTTAAACTAAGCCCTTTCCAGCCCCAGGAGGAGCGTGGAGAGCGTTCACATGACACATCTACACACTGCAGCTGACACACTAATGTGTCGCAACACACGGTTTGGAAAGCTCTGCAATACAGTGGTGCCCCGCAAGACGAATGCCTCGCAAGATGAAAAACTCGCTAGACGAAAGGGTTTTCCGTTTTTTGAGTCGTTCCACAAGACGAATTTCCCTATGGGCTTGCTTCGCAAGACAAAACGTCTTGCAAGTTCTTGCGAGTTTGTTTCCTTTTTCTTAAAGCCGCTAAGCCGCTAATAGCCGTGCTTCGCAAGACGGAAAAAAACGCAAGACGAAGAGACTCGCGGAACGGATTAATTTCGTCTTGCGAGGCACCACTGTATACTATTGTCACCTAGAATCTGAGTTTTGCAAGGGGTGTATGCAAGCACAAAAAGCACAATGTTTGTTTTTTGGTGAGCCGAGACTGGTGCTGCTGCTCCCTAATGCCCTGTGAATGTTCGAAAACACGCAGAGATATATAGTGCTAATCTCCAATGCTCTCTGACTTCTAAGAAGCTGATCCCCTGAAACGCTGTGTCACTCGTGGAAATGATGAGCGTGAAAACGAGTGATGCAGTGATGAAGACTGTTGGGCTAGGACAGCAGGTAGGAATCAGGGTTCAAATCCCACTTGGTCAGGAACTTCCCTGGGACAGTCACCATCTCTCAACCTATCCTACCTCACAGGGATGTTGGGAGGATAAAAAAGGGGGAGGGAACCGTGTTGCGTTGCCTTGAGCTGCTAAGGGAGGAAAAATGGAGTAGAGTTGCAGCAAATAAATTTGCAAGAGCAAAACAAAACCACGTGCTGCATACTGCTTGTGCCCTGCATAAAGTGGACTTCTTTTGATCGTTAGTAAATATAGCTCCTAGACAGCATCTTAAAAAGCAGAGACATCACCTTGCCAACAAAGGTCTGTAGAGTTAAAGCTGTGGTTATCCCAGTAGTGATGTATGGAAGTGAGAGCTGGACCATAAGGAAGGCTGATCGCAGAAGAATTGATCCTTTTGAATTCTGGTGCTGGAGGAGAGTCCCATGGACTGCAAGAAGATCAAACCTCTCCATTCTTAAGGAAATCAGCCCTGAGTGCTCACTGGAAGGACAGTTCCTGAAGCTGAGACTCCAATATTTTGACCACCTCATGAGAAGAGAAGACTCCCTGGAAAAGACCCTGATGTTGGGAAAGATGGAGGGCACAAGGAGAAGGGGACGTCAGAGGATGAGATGGTTGGTCAGTGTTCTCGAAGCTACCAGCATGAGTTTGACTAAACTGCGGGAGGCAGTGGAAGACAGGAGTGCCTGGCGTGCTCTGGTCCAGGGGGTCACGAAGAGGCGGACACGACTAAACAACTAAACAACAAAATATAGTTCCTGTCTTACCAATATCCTGTGCTTTTCCAAAAGTGCTTCAATTCCCTTTCGGTCTGTGACACGTCCACATTTATCAGGAAAGCCCCAAAGGCTACTTGCACTGTGAGACCCAGTAGTATGGCGAGGCTCCACGCCCTGCAGGATCTCATCCGACCCGGAGAAATTAGCACCCAACGGAGACAAAGACTTTTGCGCCCTTCCATCGTATGTTTCCAAAGCACTCAGCGGCGCAATCTATGCCTCGCGCAGGGGATGGGGAGGCGCTGCGTCTCCTCTCTCCCGGCTGTCACTTTTACGCTGCCGAAATTCAAAGTTCCCACTTTGGATCTGTGATCCTGGGTCCCAGCGACGGGGCGGACGATCCCTAGAGACGCAGCCTGCTGCAATTTTCTTCCCAAGTTGCAGCGAAGTTCCCCCCCCCCCATCCACCCCTTTTTTCTACGGCACATGGTCGCTCCTGTTTATTTTACTTCCTGCTTTTCTCTTCCGCGAAAGAGAGGCGAGGGAAGTTGCATTCTACCCAAAGCAAAGGCGAGTCCGATCATGGGGTTTACTCGAGGGTTAAAGCTGCAGGCTATGGCTCACAACACGGGGGGGGGTGCAAAATGAGAACACAAAATGCATAATAAAACGCGTACCTGACAAACAGCCCTAAGGGTGGGACTGGTTTGCACCATAGCTGTCAACTTACAGATTTGAAAACAAGGGACCAGCAGCCAAAATAAGGGATTTTGGCTTAGCTTATACAGTACAGAAATCCGGCACTGATGGAGCCCTGCTGCTTTGGCTGCCACTGACTGTGTTTTGCAGGGGGTTGGACTAGATGATCCTAAGGGTCTACAACTCCCACCAAAGAAGAGGGGCAGACAAAACTGATGAACCGTGTTGAGATGGCAAAGCTTACTGGCCTGAGGGAGGAGGAAGAGGAGGGGATGGGGAGGGACGCAGAAGGGCGGCACTTCAGCGGTCGCTGCGGCGCAGCAACCGCCTCATGCTGGGCTTGTGGGCGAGAGTCCCTCTCCCTCCCTCTCTCTCTCTCGGGCGGGGAAGAGCCGATGGAACTCCTGGCACCAGGACGACGGCAGCCCCGACGTGCTGCTTAGCATCCCCTCCAGCCAGTGCAGCATCTAAATGTAGTGATTTCCTCCTCTGCATCCCTTTTATAACTATTTTTATAAATCATTTGTCCATCCATAGTTCAAATTTTTTACAAGTTTTCTGTCAATCCTACCAATGTATGTACCGGGAACTCTTTACAATAGCTTTTCAAATAAATTATAAACTTTCCCCATTCTTTATTAAAGAGGTCCTCTTCCTGGTTTCTAATTCTGCCTGGAAGCTTTGCCATCTCAGTTTTGTCTGCCCCTCTTCTTTGGTGGGAGTTGTAGACCCTTAGGATCATCTAGTCCAACCCTCTGCAAAACACAGTCAGTGGCAGCCAAAGCAGCAGGGCTCCATCAGTGCCGGATTTCTGTACTGTATAAGCTAAGCCAAAACCCCTTATTTTGGCTGCTGATCCCTTATTTTCAAATCTGTAAGTTGACAGCTATGGGAAGCTGCCTTATCCCCAGTCAAACCCTTGTTGGTCCGCACTGGCTCCCTAAGACGTCACACAGGGATGCTCTCTCCGCCCTACTGGGGGATCGAACCTTCAACCCGCTTTCAGCTCGGATCTATACAGCCTTTCCCTGACCAAACCCCGTTGAACTCAGCGGGATTCACATGAGTGACGTCGCCTTCTGCCAATCAGGCTTCGGCGCCCCTTTATGTCTCCGCCTTCCACCTCGGCACCCACATCCTATTTCCCTCCCTTAGCTTTGAGGCCGGCCAATCAGCTCTTTGCCCACACCCCTTTACGTCACCGCCTTCCACAGTGCGGAGTGGACCATTCCCTTTCCCTCTGTTGCTTTTTGATTAGCTTTTAGGGCGGCCAATCAGCGCTTTGCCAAGCTTCCGTGAGCTCCAATAGAGGGAAAGAAACGCCCTTCGCCATGGCCAATGGGCACCGTAGGTGGCTTGTTGATTGCTCAGTCCGCCGTCCAATCAGGAGGCGCGATGGCGAGAGCCTGTTGCTAGGCGGTTCCTTCGCCGTTTGTTTTGAATTTTGGCGGCGGTTCCTTATTCGGAATTCTTCGTTATTTTAATTACCGGTGATGGCGAAGCCGGCGAGGGAAAGGTGAGAGGGGAAACTCTGAGGGAAGGAGAAGGAAAGCTGAAGCTGAAGGCTGGGAGATTCAGGGCGAAAGAAAGAAAGCGAAAAAGATTTTTAATTCTCCTTTAAATATATATATATATATATCCTGAAGCCTTTCTATTAGGCATCATGTCGATTGAAATACCAAAAAGCCTAAGAACACTTTTTATGTATGCATTTTAATAGCTAAAAACTGGAAAGGCGATTTAATCCCCACAAAAACTGACTAGCAAGCGAAGATAATAGAATATTTAGAACTTGGGGAAATGACTGGGAGAATAAGAGGGAAATCAAATCAGAAAGTAAAAACTGGACAATATTCAAAGAATATCTTTTAAAAGAACTGTGATAATGCAATGCTCCTGAAAGGTTTAGATTGCATCTTGAAGGGTAAGGAAACGTTAATAACAATAATTTCTTTTGGTAACGGAAGAGAGTAATAATAAAGAAGTGCATATAGAATAATGCGGTGTAAAAAGCACAATGAGGTGAGTCGGAAGTTAAAGTGTGACTATTGTCAAAGGATATGTTGCTACTTAGTGGTTTGTGTATGTTGCTTATTGTTTTTGTCTATATTTGATGTAAATTGTTTTGTAATAAATAACTTTGTAAAATAATAAGAAAGCTTTGCCTTGCGCAGTGAGGCTGTGGAACTCCCCGCCACAGGAGGGCGGTGGTGGCTATTGACTTTGGCAACTTCAAATCAGGACTAGACAAATTCAGGGAAGGTAATGATGAAGTGTTAAGGAAGGGTGGAAACATGTTGTGCGCCTTCGGGGGTCGTTTGTCCGCCTTTGGTCCCCACCCTGCACTCAGCTCTCACCTGTGGCTCCTAGAAGCTGTCAGCATAAGACAGGGGCCATACCCCAGGAACGGCTTTGACTGGCTGGCTAAACCAAATGAGGGCAGCAGGTGAGTCTCAAACCCTCACTGAGTTAGGAGCTGCCCTGCATTCAAAGACAGGATCCAGCGGATTAATAATAATAATAATAATAATAATAATAATTTTTATTTATACCCCGCCCTCCCCAGCTAAGACCGGGCACAGGGTGGCTAACAACCAATAATAAAAACAAGTTGATTAAAATACAATTTAAAAGATTAAGATACAATATTAAAACAATTAGGGAGCAATCTCATCATAGGAGGAGAAAGAAAAAAGAAAAAGGGGGAGGGAATCAAACTGATTCTGAGCCAAAGGCCAGGCGGAACAACTCTGTCTTACAGGCCCTGCGGAAAGAAATCGGATCCTGCAGGGCCCTGGTCTCAAGAGACAGAGCGTTCCACCAGGCCGGAGCCAGTGCTGAGAAGGCCCTGGCTCTGGTTGAAGCTAATCTAACTTTCTTAGGGCCCCGGACCTCTAGGGTGTTGCTATATATGGACCTTGAGGTCCTCCGTGGGGCATACCACGGATTGAGTTGACAAGACCAAGAGTGAGGCCAATGGGCAAGAAGGCAGTTTCTGCACCTGCTGTCGGGGGAAGTGAGGGGCAGGTGGGGCTCGTCAACCTGGGAAGGCAGCCCATCTAGGAGAAGGGAAAACTCTGATCCTAAACCTTTCAGGAGCTGTGTTCGAAACTAACCAGGTGCATTCCGGGCAGATCAAAGGGAATGTTTGTGAAGCACAAGTCATGTAATATGGTCGAACAGATGCCGATGTAGGAAAGGAAAAAACATCATGATAGAATGAAAGCAAGGCTTGGAGTTTCTCATGTGCCATTTTCTATTTTATTATTGTACAGTGAGGTTTTGGCCTCTTCCCTAGTGAATAGCGTGACCCAAGCTTTTGGAAAGCTGGTAGACTTATGGAACGAAATGGGTATCAGCAGAGAACTGCAGCTGGAGCGCATGCAGACAGCTAAGGCACACATTGAGGTATGGAGCAGTGTGTGTGTGTGATTTGTACTCCAAATGCTCTTAAACAGTTGACTTAATTTCACTTGTCAATTTATATATTAATAGGTTTCAGGGCCCTCTTTGTGTTTTATTTCAAATAATATTTTGTTGCTTTAAAGCAGCGGTGTGAGTTTTTGGGAGGAAATTCCAATTTCTAAGTCCGGTGCTCAGACTGTTGCTGGGAGGTAAATCTGTTTTGTTCTGTGCTATTTACCATGTGAGTCTTTACATTGACACCCTCCTTCCTGACACTGTGACCCAGCTCCCACCAAGGAATGAAGGGAGCTGTATTTCAGCAACATCTGGAGGGACGCAGGTTCTTGAGCTAGCAGATCCTGAATCTTTCACTTAAGTTGCAGGCCTTCATATCTTTGCTGACAAAATAATAATGCTCACTAACTTGCATTGCGAAACTTACATGGGTTGCAGCAGTTGGCTTTTATTTCTGCAGAAGTGACAGTATATTTTGTTCTCTTCAATTTTTACAACAATTGATCCAATGCACAGTTTCTACTTGATTTTGGAGACCCCTGCAGCAAAGATGTAAAGGGCTTACTTAGACAGTCAATGACTGGTCTCTTCCTAAGTATAAAATGGGTAGAGCTAAATGCAGAGACTTAAGAAAATATGGTCCAGGTCCCAAAGCACCTGGTTATATATCAATTATCTCCATTTTTCGATCAACCTTACAGTATTTAGAAAAGCTAAAAGCCAAGCTGTCCGCTGATAGTTATCTGAAACACATCAGTCGATGAAAAGGAATGTGAAGAAAGAATTTGATTACTACTCATTTTATAGGAACTTCTATCCCCAGTTTTCCTGATGGCTGGGAGGAGGTTATTTGCTACTGACAAGTAGCTGTGTGTAAACATGGTTTAAAGCCAACCAGCTAATAATGCAAATACAGGAAGCCTCAGGAACCCTACCAGACCACACTCCAGTTACTGAGTTTGGGAGATTGTAGTTTATATGTCAAAACACTTCTTCTGTTACAGACTTGAGTGCTGTGTATTTTAAAATGCAGATCATTAATGTGGCACAAATAATTAATTTAGCTATGGGTGCAATGCTTTAATTTGACAGTTAATAAATCTGATAAGGAACTGTACTCACACTACTGTTGTATGGGTTTTTGGATAGACTCTGTTGAATGAAATGATTGAGGAAGAAAGTAATTTGAAAGAAAAAATTGAAAATGACATTGAAATACAGAAGTCTCAGTTGAATATCGTGAGATACGAACTCAAGCTGGACCCCTACCAGGCAAGTTGCTTCACTGCTGCTTATTCCGGATAACAAAGCACAAAGATGTCACTTAGGTTGCAGTCCTATACTTGATATACCAGGGAGCAACCCTCATTAAGTTCAATGGTGCTTCCATCTGATTAGACTTGTATACAATTACAATGTTAACGACAATGGGCTGATATCTGCCACCGTGATGAGTTTTTATTCTCAGCACTGTTTTCTGTAATTACCATTGCATTTGAAAATGTGGAGCTCTTGCTTTGCACATGTTAGGTTTCTATTGAACACTTGGAATCTCTAGAGCCCTCTGATGGGCATAATTGTAATTAATGTGATTCTTCAGAGGTGCTTTTTACTGTTGTAACGAATTAAGACTTAAAATATTTGGTCTGGCAGCTGACTGGAAGGTTACTGTTCAAATACAAATTCTGTTTCGGTACAGACCTGTCAAAATGTGATCTTTGCTCAGTACTGCCACTCACTGTAGTGTCAATACAGGCACCCTTCCACTTATGTATGGCACCAGGAAATAATTAAATGATTCGATTCAAACCTGGAAATGGCGAGAGAGAGCTGGAGAGTCCGTGTGGCTCACGAGGAGACCCTCCCTAGAAACCAAAGAGGATGTCAGTGAGAGCAGAGGAAGCCCCAAAGAGACTGGAGATGCAGCAGGGCTTTGTTTACGCTGCTCAGCCTCCCCACCTCCCCACAGCTGATGTGCGGGGTAGCGCAGCAGCAGCAATTTCCTGCATTTCCTCCAGCCTCCTGCCAACCCCAAAGTTTCAATTATAGTTGTGGGTGTTTTTGGATACAGAATATTTTGTATGGATTGAAGAGAGAGGGGCAGAGATGGCATTTGAAAGGGCTTAGAGGGGGCTCCCCACTTTACGTGATTTCAGTTATGCATGCAGGGACCAAAATGTAACCCCCGTGTAAGAGAGGGGGACGCCTGTACATTTCTGCACCTAACCCTTTGTAACTCTTCACAGGTTGGTGATGGCTTATCCATCATCCAGTTAGAAAAAGAGTTTCGTCTGGCTTTAGAAGGCGCTCTTAAAGAAAAACAAGAGAGGCTGACGAAGTTGAAACAGCTGCAGCTAGAGGAGCAGAGACTATGTTCAGAGCTTTATGCTACTCCATACTACATACCGACCGGCAGTGTTCCAAGTTGTTTGCAGCTGGAAGAATTAGACAAACATGTTCAACAGCTCTTGAAAGTGAAGGTGTAGTACTGACCCCTCCCCCTTTGCATTATTTAAACAGAAACATTGTATTTATTTTTATTTATTGAATTTATATACCCAATATATAGTAAAAATCTGAGGTTCTGATAAGGCTTGCTGGGCTTGGACCCAGGTATGAGCCACAAATGGAGGCATTGTATGGCTTCTGAATATTTCTCTGGTTTGAATTAAAATGTAAGAAGAATTCTCAGCAACTTACACTTTCCCCCTCCCCTCTAGTCAGCCCCTAAATGGTTACTTTTGCAGCCAGGAGACCTGCTGTTGGGGCCTCTAGATGTGTAAAAGTTAGAAGTGAAGATAGGGTTGCCACATTTTACAAAGTGAAAATCCAGACAGAAGAGTTGTAGAGTTTTGTTTTGGTTTGGTTTGGTTTGGTTTTGCAAATAAATTGAAGCTATTTCTGAGGAAGATCTGCAAAATGACACTGCCGCCATGCGTGCGGATTTTCCCAGACATTTCTCCAATTTACGCCTGGACATTGCTTGCGGCTACAGTATTACAGATATGTCTGGGAAATTCCATATGGCAACCCTAAAACTTGAATTCACTCTGAAATAAATATTTTCCCTTGGGAGAGGGGGAGTGATTCAACTTACTTCTAAGCCCGTCTGGTATGGATTATAGGGAGCTTCCACATGCCTACTAAACATGCTGCTTTCTTATCTCCTGGCAAATTGCTTTTGAATGCTTGTTCTAGAAAAATTGCATTTAATTCATATCAGATATTCATTCTGGTTATCCAGAATTAGCAAATAGCCTTAATCAATAAACGAATCTGTTCATTTTTTGTTGAGCAGTGAAACTAGTTTGATATTCCTGTGTTGCACTTAAAGTTGGACAGTGTCAGGAATATTGGGTTAAACATGTGATTTTTAGATGCTCTTTATATCTGAGACCTCATGACAGCATTACATTTGAAAGCTGTTTGATCTGACTATTTAAATCATTTTATTTGTTTAGGAGCAAAGGTTGAAAGAGTTTTTTAAACTAAGGGGAAAGGTCAGGCAGTATAATAAAGAAATTGGACACACACCAGATGGGACACTGGAAAGTGATATGTTGAGCGATGAAGAAGAATGCATTTGCCTTACAAAGAAAAACCTTGAGGATCTCGAATTGCTTGTTCATCAGGTTGGTCTTTTGAATGTAAAAAAGATGTATTCACATGAATGAGGCTGCTGTTCAGATTGTTTAGCCCACATGAATACCAGAACCAATATGGTCCTTAATTGATGTTGGGCAAATGCAACAGGTGTGCCATTTATAACCATGGCTTGCAAAGTGCAATAAGGGCCTCCAATATGGAGGTATAAGTGCTTTCTTATAGTCAGGCCAATGGGTCTTCTGTAGCTAATAATGCTGCAAGGTGATATGTGTGGGCCATGCAGTGTAATAGTGAATGAGGGTTCCATCTCTATTCTAACTTCCCACTCCCTGCCTTCAGCCATTTGAAATGAGACAGTGGAGCACAGGTTCCCTGTTGGAACTGTTGGGATGCAACTCGGTTTGAACTGGAGGCTGATTTGTTTCCATGGGAAAGATAGAAGGAAGAACCTCCAAGTTGCCTAGACTGTCCTTTAACCTGTACTGACCTTCCATCATGTGTTAGACATGTTTTTAGGGTTCCTGACCTCATTTCCTTCTTTTTCTATATCATCGCTGGGAAAGGAAACATCCTTGCATCTTCCCTATACAGTTGTACAGTGGTACCTCGGGTTACGAACGTAATTCGTTCCAGAGGTCCGTTCTTAACCTGAGGTGCACTTTCGCTAATGGGGCCTCCCACCACTCCGCCGGCGTGCAATTTCCGTTCTCATCCTAGGGCAAAGTTCTCAACCCAAGGTACTACTTCTGGGTTAGCAGAGTTTGTAACCTGAAGTGTTTGTAACCCAAAGCGTTTGTAACCAAGGTACCACTGTACCTTGGAAGTCAAACGGAATCCGTTCCAGAAGTCCATACAACTTCCGAAACGTTTGAAAACCAAAACATGGCTTCTCATTGGCTGCAGGAAACTCCTGCAGCCAATCGGAAGCCCCATTGGATGTTCGACTTCCAAAAGAACATTCGAAAACCGGGACAGTCACTTTGGGCTTCGATTGTTCATGAGCCAAAACGTTCGAGAACTAGGCTGTTCGACTTTCAAGGTACGACTGTATGTGTATTTCCTTCAATAAACTTAGCTTCCATCTTTTTCCAAACTCAAGAGTCTTGGTGTAATTATATCCAGGCTAAAGTGTGTTCTACTCCAACAGTAATTCAGTGTTCAGTTAAGCTTCCAAGCTGCAAGTTAAATTGAAAACACCAACATTCTCTCCCCCCACCCCCGCCCAGTCCGCCCCGGACCACCTCCCCACCTTATAGAACTGGTAATCACAATACTTCATTGCTTAATTTTGGTACCGTGATCAAGATGGAGTGTTGGCATGCACTTTTCCTGAAAAGATGATGATGCAGTGTTACATCTGGCTTGACTTGCTCTTGAGACTATATGGCACAGTTCACATACATTGTTGCTGCCTTTTCCATATGGCTGTTTTGTATGAACTGATGTAGATGTGCCTTTGTAGTTGCAGGTCAAGAAAGACTCTCTAATTGCCAGCAGAGATGCTCTGGTGAAAGAGGTGCAAGTTTTGTGGGACAGACTTCAACAGCCACAAGAGAAGCAGGAGCAACTCACAATGTTGGCAAGCAGATGTCCTATTTCTGAAGCAATAAAAATGGTAATAGAATCAGAATTCTGATGGCACTGTTCATTAATAATAGGCTGACTACAATGGTCTTTTATGTAATTTACAATACAGAAAGGTAAGAGTCGCTTAAAACTACAGAATCAGACTTCAGTTTAAATTTGTGCTGGATTTTTTTTAAAAAGTCGTCTTTAGGCTCTGGAAGATCAGGGAGGGGGCCTGCCTGACCTCAACTGGAAGGGAATTCCACAAAATTGGGTCCACAATACTGAATTCACAGCTCCTGGTGGATACAAGCCACGAATCTGAGCCATGGGGTTACCACTAACATTGACTCTGCCCAAGTCCTTGATGATCAGGCAAGGATATATGGGATTAGGCAGTACCTGTGGTATCCTGGACCCACATTGTTAAGGGCCTTGTAAATTAATGCAAGAACCTTGAACTTGGTTGTGTAGTGTTCAGGCAGTCCATGCAAACCTTGGAGCACTAAAGTTACATCCTGGTGATAGTCACTCCCCATCAACAGTCAAGACGTAGTGTTTTGCAGCAGCTGAAGCCTCCAGGTCCAAGAGTAGCCCCACATAGGGCACATTGCAGTAATCAAGTCTTGAGGTCATCACTACATGAATCACCATGGCCAGACTTTCCCTGTAAAAGAACAGCTGTAGTTGACATACCAGCTATAGTGGGTAAAAGGCACTCCTATTGAAATTAATGGACCTAAAGTCATGCTCATTAATTTCAGTGAGTCTAGTCTGAGTAAAATTTAGTTGATTACTACCCAGTGTTTTTTCCCCTGGATGTTGTTGTTTACTGACTTTAGCGCCTATTTTGTTGAGGATGTTTCACCCTCCCATTGCAAGAATCTGCAGACAATGTTTCAGAAAGGAGGGGGCCGATTTTGCTCATTGCTTCTTCCGCTCCAGCCTGACTTCAAAGGGAGACTGAGTGTTATCTGTATATAGATAAGGTGACTGCTCAAGCAGCTGTAACACTCATGCAGTCCAGCGTCTCCGATTAGTTTTTAGTTAGTTTATGCAGTAGCTGTAGAGAATAAAAGAAGTTATACTTCAGAGCTGTCGTTCGTGTGGTTCATGCTCTGCTGTGCTCCGCTGACTTTTGGAACTGAGTTTGGTGCTCACAGCTCTAAGTTGTGAGTCCACAGCACTTAGACCTGCTCCCTGCAGTGGAAGGTCTCTGGGAGTGCTTTTCCAGCTCGCCTGGCCCAGTCGGGGCTGAAGAGGTTGAGCCCAGTCGTTGGCACTGGCTCAAAGGTGAAGCTGACATTTGTTTCACTGGATCTGCTTTGATGCTAGACCCTCAACAGTTTTGTGTCTCTCACCTGCAGTGAGTGGTATTTTAATTTTGAAGCTTCTGAAATAGCAGCTGCATGTGTTTATTTAAAATATTTCTTCTTCAGATATACATTAATATGAGATGTATGTAGTTGCTTAAAACTATAGAATCAAGCTTCAGTTAAAATACCTGCTGGGTTAAAAGAAAAGTTGGCCAGAGAAGACACAGGCAGGAAAAGGCGCACTTTCAGGCATTTGAACCCAAAGCTATTTAGTGCTTTAAAGTTAAGTAGTAGTACCTTAAATTGGATAATGAAGGAGCCTTCTCATTTTACTGTCTGGAGCTAACATCTTACTCTAATGTATTTTGCGTATGTGGCCTTCTTCTAAGCTCAGCTGACATGGAAGCATTAAATTTAAAGTGTGGGGGAAATGGCCATTTAAAAAAAAAGTTCTAAAGAGTTAATTGTATTCTACGTGAATGCCTCTTGGTGTCAAACTGACAGTCAGATCAGATTACTCCAGTTTCAGGAATATCCCCAGTCTACGTACGTCACTGCTACAGCCTTTGCTGTAACAAATTTGTAGTCATGGAGAAGTCTGAGTAATTGTCTGGAAATAGTGAAAGCAAGATCTCCATTGCCAAATGCAATAACCATGAGACACTTGTTTTGTTTTCATTAGTGGGAAGAGGAGTTGGAGAACCTGGAAGTGCTGAAGAAGGAAAGTTTAAAACAAATTACTTTCAGAGTCAGGCAAGAACTTCATGATTTCTGGGGGAAATGCTTTTATTCTGAGGAACAAAGAGCTGCGTTTCAGCCCTTTTTAAGTGGTAATTCCTTACATCTTATATCTTTCAAATACAAATCTGTATTTTGTGTCTACTTATGACTAAAGACAGGTAAAACTATTTTTTGTCATAATTTTAAAAACGGAATGTCTGGTTGATGAGGCAAAATTCTGTTAAATCGTCTAGGGCTGGGTCACAGTGAAAGTGCTTAATCGCTATTTGATCCTCATCTTCTAGTTGCAGAGTCATGCCATGTGCCTAATGAAACCTTAACTCTTGTTTTCTTGCTTTAGATAATTTCTCTGAAGAGTTGTTGAGTCAACACGATGAAGAACTTTTGAGAATAAAAGAGGTTTATGAGAAAAACAAACACCTATATGATAATGTTCACAAATGGAATGCCATCGGGGAGCGTTTGGGTGAACTGGAGGTCAGAAGTACTGAATGCTTATGTTATCTCACTGCAGAGAGGGAAACTTGAAGCTGTTTTTAGATATGGGTGAAATCTAGGTGAGCACCAGACACAAGATTCGATTCGTATCTGAAGCTTTGGGTAGAGGCCCAATCTGTTTTGGAGCTGCTCTTTGGTCTTTCCAATTCATCTCATTATTCGGGACCAAGATACAGTGGTACCTTGGTTTATGAACTTAATCCATTCCAGAAGTCCGGTCTTAAACCAAAGCGTTCTTATACCAAGGCTTGCTTTCCCATAGCAGCGGGGGACTCAATTTACAAATGGAACACACTCAACAGGAAGCAGAACATGTTCTTATTCCAAGGCAAAGTTCACAAACCAAAACACCTACTTCCGGGTTTGCTGCGTTCTTAATTCAAGTTGTTCATAAACTAAGCTTTTCTTAAACCAAGGTACCACTGATCTGTTAAAAACGAAACTGCCACCCACCCCACCTCTACCTGTTCACTCCGTACTTGGAGGTTTTGAAGCAGAGATTGGGTGACCATTCATGATTATAATGGGAATCTAAAACTGTATTGCTTCCCTTCCACAGAAGTGGATGAAATGAGCAGGCATGGGGCCCCTGCAGGGTGGATTAAGACTCCCAAATTGTAGGCAAATACACCAAACGGAGCAAATGAGCGAAAGCTAGCCAACGGAACAGTGCACTTGATCAGAAGTGACCATTTGACACAACTGTCAGAAACGTACAGCTTCTATACTGTATAGACACAAGGATACTAGGATGATACCAGCCCACCCATCATTCGCTGATAAATGCATAAAGCAGCTGTGCAATCTTATTTGCTTGACTTCAAAGGAACTGACATATGCCACTGAGCCGCAAATACCCTCATACTTGGTGCTTTGAAAGGATAATCTTTTATCTGCCTGGGCTTGTACTAGAATAAGAGCCACAATCTTATTTGAAATGGCGAGATTCTTCTGAATGTCTGCTTCAGGTTTTTGCTCTAGGAGGCTTAGTTTGGTCAGAATCGAGTGTAAACGCTTCCAGAGTTAATGCTAAATACATTACTTCTGGTGAATGAGCCACCATAGCCACTAGAGGGCTGTGCAAAATTTGTCTCCTCGGCTTTTAGACTCGTCCACCCATGTACTATAGGTAAACAATCAGTTACTTAATGCATAACCTGTTTTCCTTCTGTATTCAGAAAAAATCAACAGATCCAAGCAGACTTCTAAACAGAGGGGGTACCTTACTCAAAGAGGAAAGGGAAAGATCAAAGCTTCAAAAACAATTGTTAAAGGTAAGTCCCAGGGCCATTTTTGTGTAGTTTCCATCCATTTTGGGTGAAATTTGGTGCCTGATCCACATGAGCACACCTAAGTAAAACAATAGATGTAATCCCTTGTTGACTAACACTCCTTGGCAAAGCAGTTCTAACATGTAGATAATGCTTTCATCTCATAAACTTTGGAAGTATTTTCTGTGCATATAAAGTTGCCTCTGGAAAGCACATTGATGACACCTCAAATTTGAGGTCCAAATGACTCCAGGTTCTTAGCATGCTTGATCGTTTCTTGGCTGATCTAGCTAACGTCTCTAATATTATAGAGGAAAGTGAATTGTTCAGCTGCAAACGGAGTTGGAAGAGTGCCTTGAATAGTGGCAGTGTGAAGTTTAAAGTCTTTCTGAAATTGACTAAACTGATTGTCAGTTCAAGGTTGAAATTTTAAGTCCAAACCACCTTCCTGGTATAGACTGAGCATGTTGGCTATTTGCAGATTAGTTGCACTGCAGAAAGCGTGCTGGGGAGACCACACATTACAAGGAACGCAAAATAACTTTAGCTAGGTTTTAATAACAAAAACTCCTTTTACACTAAATATATCAACAAGCATGACCCAACCACCAACCCATCCCCCAGGGTATTGAGAGAGCTAGGTGCTGCTCTTTATATACTACAATGGTACCTCGGGTTACATACGCTTCAGGTTACACACTCCGCTAACCTAAATAGTGCTTCAGGATAAGAACAGAAATTGGGCTCCGGCGGCGCAGAGGCAGCAGGAGGCCCCATTAGCTAAAGTGGTGCTTCAGGTTAAGAAGAGTTTCAGGTTAAGAACAGACTTCCAGAACGAATTAAGTACTTAACCCGAGGTACCACTGTATACCCAATTGCTGACACAGCTTAATTAAGACAATTTAACAGCACCTGCTATACTGCTTCACAGCTGTAAAACTGGGTCACGTTGTTTGCTCTGGCCCTTAAAGAAATATACATCTTGTGGAACAATAATGAACCTTCAGATTTAAAGAGACCATTCAACAGAGCATATCATTTAGCTCTTCAGAGGAGATGCTGCTGGTCATTCCATGACCTGTGAATTTTGACAAGTTGGCCTTCTCTGTGATAGCACACACACTGGAGTGCCCTCCCTTGGGTAATTTGTGAGATGGAAACAGTAATGACCTCCGAATGCCTTGTGAAAACGGGCTTGCTCAAGGTTTATTCAAGCTTCACTGAAGCTTTCCTGACTCTTTTAAGTTTTATTTTATTTTTGTTTTGTATACTGCTTAGTTTTTATTATGGTATAAAGTTGTGCTTTATTTTTATTTCCCTTTTAATTTAGTTTTTAGGAAATGTTACATTTATATTTTTAGGTGAACTGCATTGAGATTTTTATTAAATAGTATTATTTTTTTATTTTTAAAAAACATATTTGCCAAAACTAGTTGGGGGAAGAACTGAAGAAAGATACTGAAGACTGGGAGAAGGAAAACAACTCACACTTCCTTGTTAATAATCAGAGGTTTCTGGACTCCATGGCCCTGCAATTGCAGCATCACAAAATTAAGAAAGATCAACCCAAAATTGTAAGTTTTCCATGTGAGTCACTTAATTCAGCACATTATTTATTTGATAAGAATGTGACTGCCATGTTTGGGATGTGTTGTCAATCCTTTACTAAATAATGACTGTGCCTTATTGACTCTGTCTGCCATGTTCTCTCTGGTGTTCTCTCACTTTCGTCTGGTTGCTGTTGCAAAGTTAGTCACTTAAGCTAGGATCTAGCCAGCATTTGAAGCTAGTTACAAATTCAGAGCTAATTCTGGCTAGCACAAAATGTGGTTCATCACCAATGTTTACAACTGAGGGAGAAGGAACACATTATCCAGCAGTCTAGTCCCCCATCCGAATGACAGCAGATGTTCAATAAACATTGCAGACCATGCCATGATCGTGTGTCTTGTCTGTATAACGATCGGTTGGGTCTAGATTTGCAAGCTTTCGTTTTCCTTGCAGCACAGAACCATTACATTTCCCCCACAAAATAATCAACGGAGGGCTTGAATGTTAGCCTATGATGGCGTTCTTTCTCAGCCTTGCAGGAGTGTTTCTTTTTCTCTGTGCCTGGTGGGAAGAGGGAAGTTTGAAAGCAGGGATGTGGTGATGCTGCTGCCGCCATGTGTGGAAAGCAGACGGCCTCTGGGGCACTTTTCCCCCATTTTTTTCCTCGCCGCGGGGACTGACTGTGGCGTTCGTACGGAGCCCCTGGTCATCTCACGGACTATTGACCTGTACACCACTAATCCGCTGCCACCAACCAGGTTCTCCCTGGTAAAATCACTTCAGTCTCAGTCAGCTTTTCAATTAATAAAGAAGTGTGTATTTTATGTCAGACACAAACAAAACTTTTACAGCATTCCAAACGTTGTTGTTCTTTACTTTCTTAGTCCTATTTTCCTCTCTCTATCTCTTCTGCCTCCCCACACTCAAGAACCCACTGCCCTAACTGTCTCTCTATTACCAACTGTTTCTCCAACTGCCTTTCCCAACCAGCCAACCCACTAAAACCAACCAACTGCCCACCAACAACTCCCAACAAACTCCTCCCAGAACTAGTTTGATAGACCCACTGACTCCATCCCCCTGGGTCCTGTCTGTGCAACCTATTTAACTATTTCCCCTCCAGCACTCTCTCATATATATTAACGTCACACTGACTTCCGGGGTCTTGTTGTCTGGGCAGCCCAGGACCTCCAGACACACTGCCCAGGTCTGTGCCCTGGGGAGGTCATTTCAGTGCTGCTTCACCCCCGGAGGTGCACTCCAATGTTGATCCTTGCCACCCAAGGACTGAGCTTGTACAAAACAATAAGGTTGTCAGGGGAGAGCATAGCAGTGCCAGCAAGACTTGCTTAACTGTTCAGAATATGTGGAATGCAAAAGTTGACTATCTCACTGAAACATCACTGGGTGTGCATTGGCTCCTTAGAAACCTGTAAAAAGCAGCTACTGGTCCTATTTTACAAGTGCAGGAGCACTAAATATAAGTGCCACACTTTCTACAAATTCTCAAGGGTGGACTGAACATACTCTTGGTTATGGATCACTCATTTATCAACTGTGGGCTACAAATGTATGTGGACCAGCAGCCTTGATGCTTGCAGCATTTCTTTTTACTGCCCCGGGGGACTTTTAGATAATAATAATAATGATAATTAATAATAATAATATAATAATAATAAATTACTTACACCCTGCCCACCTGGCTGGGTTTCCACAGCCATTCTGGGCAGCTTCCAACAAGAGATTAAAAATACATTAAAACTTCCCTCAACAGGGCTGCTAAAGTTAGATAGATAAGATAAGATAAACTTTATTCGCATTAGCCAACGGCCATAGCAACATAAAACAAGCAATATACACAAATAAAATAAAGTTAGATAGTTCTTTATTTCCTTGACATCTGATGGGAGGGCGTTTCGCAGGGTGGGCGCCACTACCGAGAAGGCCTTCTGCCTGGTTCCCTGTAACCTCACTTTTCGCAGTGAGGGAACCGCCAGAAGGCCCTTGGCGCTGGACCTCAGTGTCCGGGCTGAACGATGGGGGTGGAGAAGCTCCTTCAGGTATACTGGGCCGAGGCTAGCACCAACACTTTGAATTGTGCTTGGAAACGTACTGGGAGCCAATGTAGGTCTTTCAAGACCTGTGTTATGTGGCCTCTGCTGCCGCTCTCATTCACCAGTCTAGCTGGATTCTGGATTAGTTGCAGTTTCCGGGTCACCTTCAATGGTGCTACCTTTGAAATACTGAACATCTCTTGGAAGTATCAGGGTGGAGTTTTTGCTCGGTAGGGCTGTAGGACTCTTTCTGTTAGCTGCTGTTTCCAATGTAGAAAGAGGCAACAGAGAACTTACTGAAGAATTGCATTATTGTTTAACAGAGTTAAAGCAAATTTTATTTCTTTTTTTTTTGCAGTCATTGAAGAGGGATGAATGTGGAACTCCCAAATCAGCTACTAAAAGACCTGCAGGAGGTGTGAACATGCCACCGCCTAGCAAGATGCGGAAAGTAAATAATCTTTTGGTCCAACAGGCAATTATCTGATAGAAATCGTGTGCATGCTTCGAAGCCAAAGTACAAGGAGCCCTATTCAACTAGCTTGCATCAGCCAGAAGCAAAGTACAGTAATGACAACTTGCCTTATTTTATTTGACAGAACCCCTGTATGTGTGTATGGGAAATTCATCCGGAAGACAAAAATGTATCAAGGAGTTAGTGATCTACCATGATCTACCATGGTTACCCTTCCTGCCTCTGTTCCTTCCCCTTCCCTTGCTCTTGTTAGGTTTTTTGATGGTGTGAGAACAGTCTTTAACGTCCTGAAGATTGGGAGGAGGTGAAGCCAGGGGTGTAGGACGGCTTCCAACAAGAGATTAAAAATACATTAAAATGTCACACATTAAAAACTTCCCTAAACAGGGCTGCCTTCAGGTGCTTCTAAATGTCAGGTAGTTGTTTATCTCTTTGACATCTGATGGGTGGGCGTTCTACAGGGCGGGCACTGCTACCAAGAAGGCCCTCTGCCTGGTTCCCTGTAGCTTTTGCTTCTCTTGGTGAGTTATAATTTTTACAAGTATACATCAAATAAAAACTATGAATCTCCAGATGTCTCACCATCCCCTCTATGGGTCCTGTTATCATTTTCAACTGCATATTATTTCATCATCCATATTTTAGGTCTATCCATATTATCCAACATTACAAGTTTTGTTAAAATCCTGCTGATGTTTCCATTTGCTTACAGTGGTCTCTTAAATAAGTTATAAATCTTTCCCATTCTTTCTTGAAACTTTTGTCTGCTTGGTTTCTAAGTTTTCCGGTCAGTTTTGCCATTTCAGCATAGTCCAACAGCTTAATTTGCCATTCTTCTCTAGTAAGGACTCTTATCTTCTTTCCATCTCTGGGCAAAAGCATCCGTGCGGCAGTTGTTGTGTACATAAAAAGTCTTTTCTGCTCCTTTGGAATCTCGGTACCTACGATTCCTAATAAAAAAAAGCTTCTGGTTTCCTTATAAAAGTTATTTTAAACATTATTTTCGTTTCATTATATATCATTTACCAGAATGCTTTTATAACTTTACACATCCACCACATACGATAAAAGGTACCTTCTTGTTCTTTACCTTTCCGACAAATGTTCGTTCTTGTTTTACACATTTTTGCCAACATACAACATGCCGAATTTTTTTAATCCATTTTCATAAACTTTCCCAATCAAAACGTTGGGTATTATGCCCCAAATCCCTCGCCCAGTGTATCATCAGGTGGCATAATATAAAAATAAAACAAAATCAGTTTGGTCAAACTCATGCTGGTAGCCTTGAGAACACTATCCAACCATCTCGTCCTCTGTCGTCCCCTTCTCCTTGTGCCTCCATCTTTCCCAACATCAGGGTCTTTCCAGGGAGTCTTCTCTTCTCATGAGGTGGCCAAAGTACTGGAAGGATCTGTCCTTCAGGATCTGTCCTTCCAGTGAGCACTCAGGGCTGATTTCCTTCAGAATGGAGAGGTTTGATCTTCTTGCAGTCCATGGGACTCTCAAGAGTCTCCTCCAGCACCAGAATTCAAAAGCATCAATTCTTCGGTGATCAGCTTCTTTATGGTCCAGCTCTCACTTCCATACATCACTACTGGGAAAACCATAGCTTTTAACTATACGGACCTTTGTTGGCAAGGTGATGTCTCTGCGTTTTAAGATGCTGTCTAGGATAATAGGATAGGTCCTTAAAAAATGTATCTTGGGTGTCGGCTGGAGTACAAAGGTTTGTCTTCAGCATATGGTGGCACAGATGCCCCTCAGTGGGGAGGGAATTCCACAGCTCAGCTACTACAGAGAATGTCCTCTTCTAGGCTGCCAGCAGGGTAACAACCAAGAAGGTGCTTCTCTACTCTGATCAGCCCCAGCGTGCATGCCCAGTCATCTGATTTTGGAAGATGCTGATCAGTTACATCTGGAGAGGCAGATTATCCACTCATTGCTTTAGGATAGCAGATCATGATTGCAAATAGTTCAAGGGAATTGAACAGCATGCCTTGTCTCAGGTTCAGATGTGCTAAAGCATTTTTTAGTATTGTGGAGACTGCAGGGGCAAGCCAGTGCTACTCATTCTCCCTTTCTTGTGAAATATACAGGGCTTCTGTCTTACTTTGTTGTTATTTAGTCGTGTCTGACTCTTCGTGACCCCCTGGACCAGAGCACGCCAGGCACTCCTGTCTTCCACTGCCTTCTGCAGTTTGGTCAAACTCATGCTGGTAGCTTCAAGAACACTATCCAACCATCTCGTCGTCTGTCATCCCTTTCTCCTTGTGCCCTCCAGCTTCCCCAACATCAGGGTCTTTTCCAGGGAGTCTTCTCTTCTCATGAGGTGGCCAAAGTATTGGAGCCTCAGCTTTCAGGATCTGTCCTTCCAGTGAGCACTCAGGGCTGATTTCCTTCAGAATGGAGAGGTTTGATCTTCTTGCAGTCCATGGGACTCTCAAGAGTCTCCTCCAGCACCAGAATTCAAAATTCTGTCTTCCTACCGCCCGGGAAAGCAGGGATCATGTGACCTAGATTGGAACATTGAGTCAGGGCCCCCCCCCCCCCCCACTTCTTTCCCTGGTTTCCCCTCAAACAGAGTCTTCTATTTTAGCCCTGGCTGCTGCATGTAATTGCATATCTATATTACAGCTATGTTGCAGCTCCCTCTAGGGAGGGTGATGTCCAATTTCATATCATGAACACCAGATGGCAGTGCATCATAAAGAAAGCCTTTCCCACAAACATATCCCACAAATAAATCTGTATGGCAGCCATGCGTTTGACCGTGAAGCACTATAAACTAGAGATGTTTCCCTCCGTGGAGACACCCTTTGGGGAAAGTGCTACAGCACATGCGTCTTCCTAGCCTCAGCCACTTTTCCTTTCCCCTGCCTCCCCAGACATTGTGTGCTTGTGTGGATTCCACAGTTGGATGTGTCTTTCACACCAAACGGAGAACAAAACACTGAACACGTAGCAATGAATATGCTGTCTTCTTTGATGAAACAAAAGTATTGTTATGGGAATTCTAAGGACTTCTGTATGTGTTTGCCTTGTACATTTATGAATGTTTATTTTACTACACACATTACACTTGATCTTAGCCAAAAGGCCAAGTATATAAGTATATAAACCACGTGTCTGAAATAGTACAGGAGAACAATCCTGAAGCCATTTTGACTCTTCCAGTAACCTCAAATATTATCTGCAGTGAGAAAGGAAATGGGCAAGCCTCCCCATTGTCTCTTTGCTCACAAATCCTGTCTTCAGGGCGTATTTGTGTATGAATAGGGTGAGCTTGTGACCTGGATTCAGGAACTAAGTATTTAGCATCTCAAAAGGAATGGCCAGGCAGTCCAGGTAAAGCAATCAGTGACCATTATCAGTATCCTGCCAAACAGGATTTCTGTTGTAGACTGCCCCCTTCAGTGATGTATGTGTGATGTTTTGGAGGGTGGCCTTGAGCTACTTTTGCATTTCAAAAGTCTATACAGTGGTACCTCGGGATGCAAACGGGATCCGTTCTGGAGCCCCATTCGCATCCTGAATGGAACGTAAGGCGCGTCTGCGCGGGTCGCGTTTTGCCGCTTTCGTGCAAGCTCGTGACATCATTTTGAGCGTCTGCATATGTGCGAGCGGCGAAACCCGGAAGTAACGCACTCCGTTACTTCTGGGTTGCTGCGGAGTGCAACCCGAAAGTGCTCAACCTGAAGCACATTCAACCTGAGGTATGACTGTTTAAGGGCTTGCACACCATTGTTCCGGTGTTCTCCTCCTGACTCCAGCATGTGGTTGTGAGCATCCTGTTGCAACAGTATAATAAAGATCATGCTTACTAGCTGCTTTTCTTCTCAATATTCTCTGGTTGGCCTCTTATTTTCTCCTTCCGATAGGAACCTACTTAAGGACTCTATTGATACCCCATCTGGGAAAAGGAGCGGGTTTTTCCTTATAACAGTATCCACGGCACATCTATCTCACAAGCGGCTGACATATGGTTGATTCTGTTTGAGGTCCTACATGCAGGCGCTTAAACTGCTGCGCTCCATTTGCGCTAGTGTTGAAATCTAACCCACGTGATTCCTGTCTCCCTGGGTGGTAGGAAGAGACAATACCACACTGGGTGCCTCAGTCATACCAAACCAGAAAGAATCTTCATGGAAACTGCCAGATGTTCTGATCCAAAGATACCAGATAACTCTTGCTGGTTCATATGTGTACAGTACTACAGTGGTTTTGGAAATAAGCAGCGAACTCTTGGGTGCACAGACTTAAGCTGGCCTTGATACCTAGGTTGGGAGGTTAGGGCATGACCTCGCCCCTGGATTTTTAAGTATTTTAAAAATAGGAATGTGAATCTGAAGCTATTAGAAGCCCATAATTGTCAGATTCAAGGTGTCTTGACAAACCTGAAAATATTTTCATCTAAGTTCATAATAGAATTGAAAGCTCAGCGTGAAGCTTTCATAAGCTTCATTTTTCTGAGGTTAAATAGAAACTGTAATTTTACTCCCCATGCTTTGCACTGACTGTCTTTCGGGAACAACACTTGTTCCTATGTTAATGCAGCTGCTTGTCTTAGTTAGGTTAGAGGCTTCAACCAACAAAGACAGGATTCTTCATAGTATAGTCTCATATCCACCAGGGAAAAAACTCTTTCTTTTGCAGCTATCAATATTTTATATTTTATTCTCGGTTTTTTCCCTTGCCAAATATATTTAGAAATATCTTTTTGCCATATGTTGAAACAATCTGTCTTGCCAATCACTGTCAATCACCAGTCAGAGAGCCTTCTGTTGAAAAGACCGGATCCCTGACTACAATTCATGCAAGGGATCTAGAACGGCAATGTTACGCATACTTCCTAAGGCATAAGCCCCAATAAATACAGTCGGACTTAACCTCCAAGCAAACACTCCTAGGATTTTGCTGCAAAATGAACTTCCGTTTAGAAACAAGACTTTGATTATGTACCGTGATTATGGCAATGAGTTGACATGAGTAGGGCTACTCTGTGCTGGTAGCTTTTTGTGCTTGGTTGTTTTTAAGATTGAAATTATTTTTAAACAGCTGCCTTGTAGACTTCTTAAATGTGGTTGGGATTGTAAATGGTGTTTTTTTATTTAAATTAAGCATTCTAAATGGAATAACATTTTGGAAAGCAAGATTTTATTAACTCTGCAGTTACTTAAATAAAAAGCTGTGCTAGCAAAATTGTATCCCTGTGATCATTTCACTTAATACAATGAGGAATATGAGAGAAGACAACCCCTTTGGCTGCTCTTGACAATGTGTGGGGATCATTATAGTTCAACAGCTGTACTACTGATTGCTCGACCAGAAGATTGGGCTAACAGGCTTAAATACTGCAAGCAGTGACACTTGGTAAATCCATTTTATTGTACTTGATATTCTGTTTTGTTAATGGTTTGCACTTGTCTTTGCCAGGGCAGATGAAATACATTTTTATCAAGCGTGTTGATAGAATAAAAAATAATGTGGCCAACAGTGCAATCCTACACTTATTAAATGGGCTTACTTCCAGATGACCGGGCATCAATTAAAGCCTAAACTAATAAATAGGGTCACAACACTAACAGTGCAATCCCTTGCATGTTTTGTCAGAAATCAGTTCCAGTGTGTCTAGGGGGCTTTCTATGTACAGCACAATCTGTTTGTAAGCTCCACTGGACCCAGTAAAAATCTAAGTAAATATGCATAGGCTTCTGCGGTCAATCAGTTTAATCAAATAGATAATTCAAATATATTTCACTACAAAGGACTAATCAGGAAGCGGTACGTTTATCTTCTTGCACTTTGACGTGCTTTCAAACTGCTAGGTTGGCAGAAGCAGGGACCGAGCAATGGGAGCTCACCCCGTCACGGGGATTCGAACCGCCGACCTTCTGATCAGCAAGTCCTAGGCTCTGTGGTTTAATCCACAGCGCCACCCGCCTCCCTTTTTTAATGATGCAGCGGTATATAAATATATTTATAAATAAATGAGTGTTTCCACAAACAGGGAGAGGGATCATAGTTCTTGAAGCACGCATGGTAGAAAACACAATAAGTACCCGTAGTTAGAATGCATGAGTTCAATTCAAGTTTAATAGTCCACAGGCAAAGCATCCAAAAAAACAAGCATTTGTTTCCACTCAATGGGTGTGTACGTGCTAAAAAATACAGAACGGCTCACTAACAATGCAGATTTTCATTGTTAAAAGGTTTAAACAGCATTTGAATAACCAGTACCCTGTAGTAATTCTGTAAAAAGTTACTTAATGGGGCTGTGAAGGTTGTGTAATAGACTTTGCAAGAGTCCGTTACATAAGGTTTTGTATCCATTACTATGGAAGTCAGAAACCACTAAAGAATTTCCTGTGAAGGGGACAATGATCAAAGGACAAACTGATCATTTAATCTCTATGATAAAGTTACAAGATTTGTATAGTATGTCTTCTAATTCTTCACTAGCATATGCAATTTGCATAAGCTGCTTTCTGAAATAGCGGAGGGTGGCACATTGAAGGAAATGAGTGTAAATGCTTTCTTATAGTTTGGGTCAAATTATGTTCTCAAGTAATTAGCACAGCTTCCTGAATTCTGTAAGATGATCCTATATATGCAGTTGTCTTTATTTTTTCCCCTTTCACCAGAACAAGGAAGTGTTCGGAGAAATGCAGTCAATAAAATGACTGTTGATAAATGTGAATGGGCTATTAATAAACAGTATCTGACGAAATGTGTATTACGCATGAAAGCTCATACCTTGAAAGCTTGTATTTAGTTGATCTTTAAAGTGCCACTGGAATTATAAAAAAATATTTTTTCATCTTGTTATTTATTATTTATTAATAGACATGGAGAGAGTATCTGTTATTCTCTTAATTTTCTTTTTTCCATAATCTTGCAGCAAGAAATTCAGTGTAAAAATATGATTAGAAGAATTATATAAGTCACTAGGTACTTCAGGATCAAAAAGTGTTGGAAAATATGTTTTAAAACTGGGATTAAGACACGGATTTGAGTGTCCCAAATGTTAACTATGTAACAGGGGGAAATATACATTTGTGCCAAATACAGATCAAAAGAATGTTTCTCGGAAACAGAAATATCTACAGCTTGTCAAGTGAAAGGTTGGTGAGGATTTGCTGATGGACTGGACAACATTGGCAAAAGTCAAACATTGGAATAAATGAGAGTTTATGCTGAGGCTTAGCATATCTGATCTTGTCTGTGCTGAATCACAGAATTGTAGAGTTGGAAGGGACCATGAGGATTATCTCTTATTATTTTATTATTTTATTTATTTTTAATTTATTCAATTTATATACTGCCCTATACCCGGAGGTCTCGAGGCGGTTCACAAACAAGACCACAGCATATAAAATCAAAACCAAAGCAATAATAATCTAGTCCAACCCCCTTGCAATGCAGGAATATCTCGTCCACCGTGGGGCTCGGACCCATATCCCTGGGATTAAAAGCCTCGTGCTCTACCGACTGAGAGATCCTAGCAGTGTTTCAAGTGATAAAAGGTTGATTCCTTTCTTGAAATGTCTCCATGTAGTTATTACTCTTCTTTATTAAATTTATATACCGACCTTCATCTAAGGATCAGAGGAAGGTTTACAACATGAACTTGTAAGCTCTTGATAATTAGTGGCCTGCGAACTGGCATTTTGTTTTCTTCTGTTTCTTTCCCATCCCCACCACTTAGTGACACTTGTTGCAGCCACTGTGGAAAGCAGTCAGAATGAACTGCACTGAAAATCGTTTTGCATTGGTGCACGAAATTGCTTGTTAGACCACTCTGAAAATCGTAGCTCTGTGAGGGCAGTAGGGGTCTCCTAGCAACTCTCAGCAACCTTAACAATCGATAGGATTCTTTGGGGCAAGCCCTGGCGGTTAAAGTAGTATGATACTGCTTTAACTGTATGGTGCTGATGTGGTTGTAGCTGATCCCGCCCAGCTGGAGAAAACCCAGGCAAGAGATGATTTCACAGTCTTAAGCAGCCCAAGTCTATTAGGCCACACAATGATGTCACTGAAAGCAAGCAAAGCCTTGTGGCCTGTTTGGGAAGTACTGCTAAGCCATAGTTTAGTGGTGGTGGTGGTGGTGATGGTGATAATGATAATAATAATAATAATAATAATAATAATAATAATAATATATAATAATTTATTATTTATACCCCACCCATCTGGCTGAGTTTCCCCAGCCAGTCTGGGCGGCTTCCAATCAACTGTTAAAAACAATACAGCATTAAATATTAAAAACTTCCCTAAACAGGGCTGCCTTCAGATATATTTTAAAGAGAAGATAACTGCTTATTTCCTTCACATCTGAAGGGAGGGCATTCCACAGGGCGGGCGCCACTGCCTAGAAGGCCCTCTGTCTAGTTCCCTGTAACCTCACTTCTCGCAACGAGGGAACCGCCAGAAGGCCCTCGGCACTGGATCTCAGTGTCTGGGCTGAATGATGGGGGTGGAGATGCTCCTTCAGGTATACAGGACCAAGGCTGTTTAGGGCTTTAAAGGTCAGCACCAACACTTTGAATTGTGCTTGGAAACCTACTGGGAGCCAATGCAGATCTCTCAGGACCGGTGTTATGTGGTCCCGGCGGCCACTCCCAGTCGCCAGTCTAGCTGCTGCATTCTGGATTAATTGCAGTTTCCGGGTACAGTGGTACCTCGAGTTAAGAACTTAATTCGTTCTGGAGGTCCATTGTTAACCTGAAACTGTTCTCAACCTGAGGTACGGTACCACTTTAACTAATGGGGCACCTGCTGCCACCACGCGATTTCTGTTCTCATCCTGAAGCAAAGTTCTTAACCCGAGGTACTATTTCTGGGTTGGCGGAGTCTGTAACCTGAAGCATCTGTAACCTGAGGTACCACTGTACAAGCACAGGCCCTTTTGCCATCCCCCTGTTTCTTCCAGTGCAGCTATAGAGATCTCAGAAGCATCCTTTTATCTGGAGAGACCTGTCAGGAGTAAGCATGGACCAATGGTACCAAATAGTATGGGAAACAGCTTTATTAGAAAAACTAACCAATAAACGGAAACTGACATGGGGACGAATGGAAGAAGACGCCTTCACCCCGGTACGGCTCCCCTTCATCACATACACAGCCCAACAAGACAACGACAAGAATCCACCAACAGCATACAAATCAATATGGCTAACCTGATCCAAAACACCCACCCACCCCACTCACACATGAAAACAAAATTCATCACAGCCAATCATAAACAAACAACCACACCCTAGGCCAGGGGTCTGCAACCCGCGGCTCCGGAGCCGCATGTGGCTCTTTTACACCTTTGCCGCGGCTCCGGGGCAGATACTAGCGAGGGGAGGAGGCGCATTGTGAACCCCGACACTCCCCACTGTGGCGGGCGCTGTACTGGCTGTGACGTCGCATGGGGGCGGTGCATGCGTTAGCCACGCACCGTCCCGACGTCACCTTCCCGCCCACTGTCAGATCGCGGCTCCGGAGATATATTTGTTTTAAATGTCGCAATGGTTTTGCGGCTCCCAGTTTTTTTCCCCTTTGGAAACGGGTCCAAGTGGCTCTTTTTGTCTTAAAGGTTGCAGACCCCTGCCCTAGGCCAACTCCAACCTCTCTCACCACCAAAGGAACACAAGCGAATAGTAAAGAGAACCCACACAAGCGACACTAACACAAAACCCCACACATACATTAAGTAAAATAGAAGCATTGCCACCCGACCCCACCCACATTCACCATGCCCCCCACCTCTTTCCCCCTATTCTTCCTAATGTAACACTAATGTCTCAACAAATGAAACTGATCTGTAGAAAATGAAACTTGAAAAAAGAGACACTGCACATACTTTTGTAAACCAAGAAATCTTTAATTTAAAAATACGTTTAAAAAAAGAAGCATCTTTTTCTGTCGTAAAGTAATGGTGATTTGTCATTTTCTCCCAATGGGGCACTGCAATTAGTTTTAATTATAGTTTCTTCAAACAAGCTGAGATCATAACCACGGTTTGAAAGCGACTTTGGGGCAAACCATAGTTATGATGAACCACAGTTTGTCCCGGTTTAGGCATAAACTGCAGTTAGTTGTACGGGAAGAAGTAGTGTATGCAGAAGGATGAGGCTTGTTTGCAGAAAGCTAAACCATAGTTTATCAAGGTGTCTGAATGCGGTCTGCATGAGAGAGCAAAATAGAAACATCCTCTTTTTTCTTTTCTTTTTTGCAAGGAGTACCAAAAATCATTGTTTTCTCTGGGTGAGGGAAGATTGTGAATATAGTTTCAGCTTAGCCTTTGTAGAAACTATCTTATGTGTATACTTAGAAAGGAAAAGAAAACGTTAATATGTTTCAGATGACAACGCATATATTTGCACTGATGGCAATTTATGGCATGCAATTTGATTAGTCATGCCCTGCTTACATATGAGAAGTCCATACAAAAGGCCGCCTCTTTCCTGCTTCCAGAGAGTTTCTGGTGCTCACTCCCCAGGTCTTTCCAAATGAGAACTTGTGACCTGTTTTTGAAGAAGCAGAAGGATTCACTGTTTATTTTGCTATTTTGTGCAACTTGTGACTAATGTTCAGGCATGGAAGGGAACATTAATAAGCTTTTAGTTACCAACTAGCCAATTACTTTAACACACTGCCTTTCTGCTAAAGCAGTTGAGGCACTTGCATTTTGTAATAATGGTTTACAATCTAAGAGACATGATACAAAAGGAAAAAGAAATATGGAGGGAAGAGGAAGAGTCTGTCTAATTGTTATGGACTGAAGTCCTGCACTGGTAGCACTTGAGTTGTGATCAGCCTATGGCAGTGAAACCTCAACAATGTGTGTTTACTTTTGCTGGCTCTACGCTGTACCTGGCAAACTTTCTTCTGTGTTCCAAAGAACCTCCTACTAGATGAGTTGCTAGAAATAGATCTGAAGAGGTAAGAGGTTTAGGCAATTTTACATGGTTGTACCGCCTCTACTTCTTTGATCTTAAGAAAGGTACCATACTTCCTGCTCAAGATATGTGTTTAGAGTGCTAGAAAAAGAGAAAAAGCCTTCAAAGGTATCTTCTCTTTTTCTAAAGGCTAAACCTATTGACCTTCATGTAGCATCATAGAATTGTAGATTTGGATAAGGACCACAAGGGTCATCAAGTCCAGCCCCCTGCAATGCAGGAATCTTTTGCCCAACGTGAGGTTTGAACCCAGGACCCTGAGATTAGGAGTCTCATGGTCCACCAAGTGAGCTATCCCAGCAGCATCCCTCCCTTACTTCATGGCTGAATGGGGATTTGAACCTTGGATGCCCAGGTCCTAGTCCAGTACTCTAACCACTGCACCGCACGACCTCTGCAAGCCACCCAAAGTGTTTACTCATTGGTGGCAAAAGTGACTGTTTTAACTTGGGTTTATATCACCCGAAGCTCTTAAGATGCAGCTGGTTGAGAGAGACAGAGGCTGTCCTCTGCTTCACAGAACATCCTCTGTGGTTGAGAGAGAGGCCTTGTATTTCCTTTCCTCTAAAGTGTCGGCCATTGAGTCGCGTCTGCAATCCAGGTATGAGCTTTGGTAAACAGGGAGCTAAATCTGTTTCCTAACTGCACAGCTAACGTTTTCATAAAGTAAGCCAGACTAAACCATGCCTTGTTGAAGCATTTTTCTCTACTCCAGAATGTCTTTCTTCATGTCTCCTCTTCCTCCCCTCCCCTGGTTGTGTATATTTCTCTCTCTTATTAAAATATAAACCTACAGAAGGAACACGATGATTTCAATTAGTATTGTACTGTACTATGCCACTTTCAGTGCTTTTAAAATAAGGTAGGAAAATTGGTCTACACCAGATATTTGATATCAGCTGGGGAAAGTTAAACTTACCAGTTCAGAATCTCAGATACTTCCCACTTAAGCACTTTAAGATTTTATCTTGACTATATTTTTCCCCAGGACAAGTAGATTCTTGCTATGGTTCTTCCATTTAAAAAAAGATCACTACCACCTTTTCCACATATGCCCACTTCAGGAATAACACCAAATCATGGTTTGGCATTACAGGAACAAACCTGGAATGAGCCTCAGTTTTATAGCAGAGTCACAATCCTTATTTTGCAGAACAAGTGCAAACTTGCTTGCTGGTTCAGACACAACAGCAAACTGTGTTTTGCTGAAGACCCAAGAAGGGAAAGAAATGGCACATATGATGAGAGGAGGAGGGGTCATGCAATCTTAAGGCTAGTTCCAGTCACATGAAACTATGGTTTGGTACTTTTGTCAAAACCAGACTTATATTTAAAAGTTATATCTTCTCCACCAGTAGGAGAGGAGCAGCAGCCAGGACAACTGTAAAACAGGTACAGCTTTGGCCACCATCTCTGATCTTCTCTAGGTGCTTAAGCAAACGGCTTTGGATTCTGGTCATGAAAATCCTTCATTATTGAAGTTCTTTGCTTCTGTGGGTGACCCAACACAGGGACAGGGTCAAGACAGCCTCCATACAGACTGTCTCGATTTTCATTTGTGAAATTGCCCTTTAACCTCTTTGCAAAATGCAATTCGCTAAGGATTGGATCTGCATATGCCCAGGCAATGTTTCCACTTTACCTAATAGCTTATAACTGGGAGATTAAAGGGGCAGATGAAATGACCTAGATATACTTTATTTCCGGGTTTGCTTTTAATCTTCTCTAGCAAAATAGATTAAGGGTGTTTTTCTTTTTCTTTTAATGTGGATGGATTAACGCAAATGGAACCACAAATTTAGGCTAGGGGCGGGTGGGGAAACATACCTGGGATGTAGCCAGTGTAAGATGGAGGGAGACCCCTATCAGCTCTGTATATTGGCTTTCCGAGACTTTTTTGAATAGCATTTCTCTTCCTGGGAGTAGACGTTTGTTCACCCTCTGCTTTTTGAACACTGACTGACTCCGGGATGGTGGTACCCAATATTTTCTGGTCAGAGGGCCAACCAGGTGTTGCAGAAGAAGAAATCTGTCATGACAGAAATAATTCAGAGTAAAATTATGACACACTGGCCTTCTCTCCTCCAGCTCTAACATCTTCAGTTGTCCAAAAGTCTTAAGGTATTCTGCTCAATATCTCTTGCTGCCCCTTTTGCCTGGACCCCTTCCAGAACATAATGTGACATCATCTCTGCCCGCCCGCCCCCCGCCAGCCTTCAAATCCTTCCTCGCTTCCCTTATTTTTCATGAAGACTTTCCTGGGTTTTGACAAACTACAGTTTCATGTCACATCTGAACTGGCAAAACAATGGTTTGTTCTTACACTGTGAACTAAGAAAGGAAGCCAGAATCAAACACTGGTTCCTAATCATGATTTGAAGGGCTTATGCAAACTTTTATTTGCCAGATCAGATGCAGCCCTGAACTGTGGTTTGCCCAGGCCCAGGAAGTTATCAGAGCAGGAGAAGAGAGGGAGATGTCACAACTTGATAACTTGTTTGCATAATGCCAAAGAATGGTTTAGTGTGTATCTAGATTGAGCCACTGACTTAAGTCAGAGGAGCCCTGAAGTCCTAGATGCGTATCATCAAAACCAAATAGCACTGATACTTTCTAGAGTATGTGAAAGTCATAGTAATGCCTGAAACCTACATACCATAACTGTCTTGTCTCCTGGCTTTGTTAGGGTGAGTTGTCTTGTCTTGTCTGGTTTTGGTGGTGGTTTTAAGTCTGCCTTTGCTCTTTCAATTGTCTGAACAGCTGAAGCAGTTGAAGGATCGCAGTCATATAGAGGTCTTCGTGTAAAGAGATGGTGATTGGTATTCATTGGTGGGTATTCTGGGACACGGAGGGAAGTTTGCAACAGTCACTGAGATAAAAGCTGAACATGCATTTGAAATCAGGAAGGGATTGCTTTAATCCTAGATAATAAGGTATAATGTTGGAATTTTATTCTTGGTTGTCATCTTAAGACAGACAATTCAGCGGGTTGGTGTCCTCTTACTTCCTATTTCATTTTCCTTATAAAGGTTCTCAGTCTCTCATGCACTTTCCTATTAATGTCAGGTGGCTTTGCACTATTGTTGGAAATGTATGTTGCACACGGTTAGAACTGGGGATATTATGGTAATTTTCATTCTCTCTTTATTCCAAAGGAAAGTGGAATTGAACCACAGTATGATTTTCTCTTTATGAAATGGGGGGAAATAACCCTTTTCAACGTAGATTTCCACAGGGTACATGGCATGGCTGCCCAAATATATCCTTCAAATGAATTATTTGAACTCAAAGAATCAAAAATTACATATCTAGACCCAGTTCAGGTGTAATGCATGTGATCTGATAATCTTTCTGGAGTTTGTTAAACCAAGGTTTCCTATTATGTAAAAAAACGGGAAACTGTGGTTTAAGCTCTGACCGTAAACCAGGATTGCAGAACTTGGTTTGATCCTGGTTTGCAAACTACCATTGCAGTCAAAGTGTAAACCACAGTTTTGATGTAACAAGAAACGGTACATTAACAAACTCTGAAAACGTTGCATTAAGATGCATGAGGGAATATGGAAGAGGAAGCATGCCCACATGACTCTTAAGTTTGGAAAAACCTTGGTTTATCAGGTGAAAGATAATGTCTTGGTTTTCATTCTCCCTCTCTCTCCCCCCCCCTTTCTCCTCAGATTCTTCCCGATATCCCATCAGAAGCACTTTCAAGGTACAGTGGTACCTCAGGTTACATATGCTTCAGGTTACAGATGCTTCAGGTTACAGACTCCGCTAACCCAGAAATAGTACCTCGGGTTAAGAACTTTGCTTCAGGATAAGAACAGAAATCACGCAGCAGCAGCAGCGGGAGGCCCCATTAGCTAAAGTGGTACCTCAGGTTAAGAACAGTTTCAGGTTAAGGACGGACCTCCAGAACAAATTAAGTTCTTAACCCGAGGTACCACTGGAAAATAACCTGTGCAGATGTCTAACTTGCTACCAAAATAGATAGCATATTTGGATACTGAGTATGCAGAGAAGAAGAAGAAGAGTTTGGATTTGATGTCCCGCTTCATCACTACCCTAAGGAGTCTCAAAGCGGTTAACATTCTCCTTTCCCTTCCTCCCCCACAACAAACACTCTGTGAGGTGAGTGGGGCTGAGAGACTTCAAGAAGTGTGACTGGCCCAAGGTCACCCAGCAGCTGCGTGTGGAGGAGCGGAGACGCGAACCCGGTTCACCAGATTACAAGTCTACCGCTCTTAACCACACCACACTGGCTCCCAGAGGGGTAAAACAGAAGAAAAGTGGCAATCAATTTCAACATTTGATGGTGCTTGATAGTTGATGTACTATGCAATTTCGTATTTGATTTCATTTGACAGAAGAAAGGTTCCCTCCTTATGCAATAAATACAAAGCACCAACAATCCTACATGTTGTGAGTGGAACAGGAGATAACTCCACACAGTTCCACCCCCTCAGTGATGACACCAGGGGTGGTCCGCCCCCCTTCCTCCGCCCCTGATTACATGTGTAGTACCACCCTTAAAAAGCGGGATCCATGGAGGATAAGGCTATGTTTTACGTCTTTATGCTTCTGAATACTAGTTGCTGGACCACGTGGACCATTGGTCTGACCCAACACTGCTCTTCTCATGTTCTTAGGAATTATTGATGCTGGGGCAGGGGGTATTCTTCATTATAATTTTCTGAAATGTATTGAATCATATCTTAAGGACAGTTGTCATACCATATGCAGTATTTCTGCCTCCTGCCTGCTGAGTATAACGATGACCACATGGCTGTCCGAGAAGATTTCTGTGCTCAGGTGTGTCAGCAGCAGTGTGGCTTAACCGCAGCAACTTTGCCTGACGGGCAAGCAGCTTTCTGGTGGCATTGCCGTAAGTTTCCCCAATAATGCTTTCAAGATTTGGAATGTGCTGGTCCCGGGGGTAAGGTACCTTGGGTGTAGCAGAGTCCACACGAAGAGGGGCAAGGTCCGAGGCAGAGAGCCGGGCGGGGAACAGGAACGCTGGAACAGGAGGCTGTGCAGGGAACAGGAACACCGGATGGTCGGGAACAGGAGGCCGAGCAGGAAACAGGAGTACCGGATAGTCAGGAACAGGAAGCCGAGCAGGGAACAGGAGTACCGGATAGTCAGGAACAGGAGGCCGAGCAGGAAACAGGAGTACCGGATAGTCAGGAACAGGAGGCCGAGCAGGGATCAGGAACACAGGAAGGTCCGAAGCCAACAACGACGTTGCTCCCGCAACCTGGGGCCGGGCTGACTGGGCTTTTATCCTCTTCTAAGGCCAGGGGCGGTCCCGGCCCCCAGGAGCCCCGCCTCCTCTGGCCTTAAGGCGAGCACTCCTCCTGGGGGCAACCAGTTCCCTTCGCCTCTCTGCTCTAAGCCTCTGCAGATCAGGAGAGGCCGAAGGGTTACTGGGCCCTGGAGGAGGCTCACCTGTGGCCACTGAGTCGTCAAGCCTCTCTGGGGCCAGAAGGGCTTCACCTGGGGCCAGCTCCTGATGCACTGCCACAGGTGCAGGCTCTTCAGCATCTAGGCCTTGCCCCAGTTCAGCCGGCCCTGGAGGCGGGGACTCCTGTGCAGGCTGGGATTCCTCTGTTTCATCCTCCGAATCGGAATCCCAGGCCATCACATGGAATGAAACCTGTATATCTGGAAGAAGAAAAAGAAGACGATAAGGCTCAGTAGTTAACTTTTCATATGCTGTGTCAGAATGCTGTGCACCATTTAGTCTATCCTCAACAGAGAACTACAGGAATAATCTTAAATTAGCAGAGGAAAATATCATTGTGAATTATATACCCAACACATGAAATCTAACAAAGGGGCAATATGAATGGACTCCCCGTGCCCTTACTACGGCAAAAAGACAGGTATTGGAGAAGTGGACAAATAAAAATGCAGCTCTCTTTAATGATGGAAGATATGCACAAACTCGCTGCACATGAACACGTTGAGTACAAACGTAAGCTTGCCATGGACAAATTTAACAATATTTGAAATTCATTTTTATAAATACTGTATTAGATTGAGGTCTGGTTAACTACAATAACATTCTTTTCTTTTCTTTGGTAATGTATACATTATTTTAGTTCTGTTTTGTTTTCTAGACGGGTACTATTTCTTTTTTCTTCATCTTTTTGTGTCTTATCTTACCGTGTGCACTTGTAATTGTGTACTTTTTATTTTTCAATAAAGGATGTGTGAATAATCTCTCTCTCTCTCTCTCTCTCTCACACACACACACACACACACACACACACACACACACACACAGGCAATTACAGCTAACAAAGCCCCCCTGACCAGCAGGCCAGTACGATGCTCCTGTTTGTCTTTCATATTTTTTTCCTGTTCAGTGTATCTTTAGAGAAAAGGGGAATGGGAATCAGTTTCCCTCCCAGTGTAGTGCCTAGCTGACTTCCCCAATAAAGTGAGTGTAATGTTCAAAGAAACTGCAGGAGCCCTGTGTATCCTCACAAGTCCTCAAAGCAAAGGGTGATTCATACAGAATACCATTAGCCATGACGTGCCTGTGCTCACCACGCTAGCCAGGTATAATATCCTGAGGAGCAACGTCAAGAATTTTGCCAACTTCCTGCTCCTGATCAGAAATTTGGAGAGGGAAGCAGTAAACAACTTCTTACTACTTGCCACAACAGTGTGTGATAATCAGCTTATCGGTATGCGAGGTGCACCCCACTTAATTAAAAATTTTCTGTAGTCCCCCCCCCCCAAAGTCTGGCTGAAGAGTAGTGACAGCTGAAAAAAAATATTCTAATGTGCCCTGTTTTTGGATCTGTTCACTCAAGATTTAATCGGCTTTCAGTAGAAACTGACAGGCTATCAATAGCCCCATGGATTGGGAAGAAATATTTTCTTTGCAAATTGCTGGTGTTCTAAAAGTTCAGTTTTAAGCCCTTACCCTGGTATGTAGAAAGAATTGTACGAAAGCATTATTTCTGCTGATCCAAGGAGGGTTTTAAGTATCTGAGATTAGAAGACTGGCAGGCAGCAATTGTTCCTTCACTTCAAGCGCAGCCCAGAAATGAGAAATGTCAAGCATATCTTAGGCTCCCTTCGCTTGTCTAATAGCAACGCTTGGGCACCTAAGTTTTGTCACTATAGCTACTCAACTCAGCTGGGGCTAGAGTAAATAAAACGTGGAAAATGTAACACTGCCAGCCTGCACATTATGTTGGCAGCAAAGTACGTCGCTTGATTTTCCAAAACAAACGTGGGGTTTTTAACTAGCGCTTGAATGCACTCATTCAAACCATGACTTAAAAACACATGGGGTGAAACCAATGTTAGTAATACTCAGAGTAGACCCATTGAAATCACTGGAGCTAAGGGGTCTACTCTGTTTATAACTTTGGACATCACCTATATAAATGTAGTCATCCCCAACAGTGCATCTAGTAAGTATAATATGAGTGGTTAAGTATTTGCTTCAATGACCCTAGGATCAGTTTGGGCTGGGGCTGGGGCTGGAAAAAGGTAGACTTCTGTGAAAATGTTCTTATGAGTTTGTGGGTACATGACACCCTAAATTTGTGAGTCCAGTAGCTGTTAGAATTTCATCAAGCCCTCTGAAGCCCTGGATCCAGCAAGGGTTAAAATATAATCCAGGCCAGTCCACTGATGAGGTAATTGCCTGGGAGATGAGCCATTAAGAAAACCGAAGGAAGATGATAGCCCATTATGGAGAGGGGCTCTGGGGCAGACAGCAAGTGGGTGGGACCCCTCCTCCAGCCCTTGGTTAGCGAAAGGAGAAAGGTAGAGTCTTTAGAGTTGACCTAGGAAAAGAGGTTGCAATCTGTTAAAGGTGACAAGCTGGAGAGATGGTCAGAGCACGGTGTCTGATCCCAAACCTCCCACTGCCTTGTGGGAGAAGCAAAGGCTAAGGAGTAAACCCTTCACAAATCTGGAGTGGAGTCCCTAAGACCGTTGGATGGTGCCTTGTATGCCTCCTTCTGGAAACTCTTGCATCCAAGCTGGTGCCAAACCTATAGTTCTGCTTTCCTTTGGACCCGGTGGCACTGTGGGTTAAGCCACTGAGCCTAGGGCTTGCCGATCAGAAGGTCGGCGATTCAAATCCCTGAGACGGGGTGAGCTCCCATTGCTCGGTCCCTTCTGCCCACCTAGCAGTTCGAAAGCACAAAGTACAAGTAGATAAATAGGTACCACTCCGGCAGGAAGGTACGTAAATGGCATTTCCTTGTGCTGCTCTGGTTTGCCAGAAGCGGCTTAGTCATGCTGGCCACATGACCCAGAAGCTGTACGCCGGCTCCCTCGGCCAATAAAGCGAGATGAACGCTGCAACCCCAGAGTCGGCCACGACTGGACCTAATGGTCAGGGGTCCCTTTACCTTTACCTTAGTGAGGCTGAGAGAGGGGTCGTGTCTGGGCAGCCCAGGACCTCCATCCACACTGCCCAGGCTTGCACCCCAGGGAAATCACTTTGGTGCTGCCAACACAGTGGTTTGACTTCACCCCCCAGAGGTGTCTCTCAAGGCAGACGGGTGCCAACTAATAGAATTGTACAGTTTTCGTATTGGATCAGATTATTCTAAGGTGTGTGCACCTTTTGTTGCTGCCAACCTGCCTTGTGTATGGCAAAGTAGAAATGGCGGTATACAAATTAAAAGTGAAATTGAAGGAAATGAAAAGACCACGAGGGTCATCTAGCCTGACCCCCTGCAAGGCAGGAATCTTTTTGCCCAATGTGGGGCTTGGACCCAAGATCCTGAGATCAGGAGTCTCATACTTAACCAAGAGAGCTATTTATTTAATTGCTTTTTAAAAATTGTCATCTCTCCCCCGAAAGGGAATGTTTTTAAGGTGTTCTCATTTTTACCCGTCAGCTGCCTTTAGTCCCTGCCAGGAGGGAAATGTGGGGTATAAATAATTACATAATAATAATAATAATCCCCCCAAGGCCTTGTATTCTGCTGCGGGTCTTTATACCTGCGGAAAGTCTCCATGAGGGGCAACCAAAGCTTCCTTTTGTGGTGGCGGAGCAGAGTGCTCTAACCAAGACCCCCCAAGTGCCCCTATTTTCCAGGGACAGTCCCAGATATACAGAAGCCATCCCTTTTTCTGATTTGATCCCGCTTTTCCTTAGGATGTCCCTATTTTCATCGCAGAAATGTTGGAGGCTTTGGTGTTATCCCACCCCCTGAAAGCCATCTGAAGGCAGCCATGTATAGGGAAGTTATTTTTATTTAATGATTAATGTTTTATTATTATTTTTTTTATATGTTGGAAGACTGCCAGAGTAGCTAGGACAATGCAGTCAGATGGGTAAGGTAAAGGGACCCCTGACCATTAGGTCCAGTCGTGACCGAATCTGGGGTTGCGACGCTCATCTTGCTTTACTGGCCGAGGGAGCCGGCGTACAGCTTCCGGGTCATGTGGCCAGCAGGACTAAGCCGCTTCTGGCGAACCAGAGCAGCGCATGGAAACGCCGTTTACCTTCCCGCCAAAGTGGTACCTATTTATCTACTTGCACTTTGACGTTCTTTCGAACTCCTAGGTTGGCAGGAGCAGGGACCGAGCAACGGGAGCTTACCCTGTTGCGGGGATTCGAACTGCTGAACTTCTGATCGGCAAGTCCTAGGCTCTGTGGTTTAATCCACAGCGCCACCCGCGTCCCCAGTCAGATGGGTGGGGGGGGGTATAATTAGTAAAAATATTATTATTATTATTATTATTATTATTATACAATAGGATGTCCCTGTTTTCATCGGGGAAATGTTGGAGGCTTTGACGTTATCCCACCTCCTGAAAGCCATCTGAAGGCAGCCATGTATAGGGAAGTTTTTTTTTTTTAATGATTAATGTTTTATTATGTTTTTATATATGTTGGAAGTCTCTCAGAGTAGCTAGGAACAACGCAGTCAGATGGGTGGGTGGGGTATAAATAGTAAAATTATTATTTTTATTCTACAATAGGACGTCTGTGTTTTCATCAGGGAAATGTTGGAGGGTATGCAGGGCCGGATTTAGGTTTGATGAGGCGCTAAGCTACTGAAAGTAATGGAGCCCTTTATATGTCCAGCTGTCAATAACAAATTGTTGCTGTTTTTCTGTGCTGAGTATATGCTATGTGGTAATTTATGGTCCTAATAGGTGTCTAAAGCCATTTGCACATGCAGAATGTAGGCACCCTATATATAGAAATGAGCAAACCAGTGATATTTTAGGGAGCAGACTAGCAGGCGGGGCCCATTACTTACATCATAGGAGCCTACACAACACAAAACACTGTTGCTGTATGTAGGTTTTATTTTATTTGCTTTTTATCTTATATTTAGGAAATGTACATCCAGTTTTTTCCCCTTTAAATTTTTTTGGGGCCCCCAAGAGAGTGGGGCCCTAAGCTATAGTTTGTTTAGTGGGACCTTGGGTTAAGTACTTAATTCATTCCGGAGGTCCGTACTTAACCTGAAACTGTTCTTAACCTGAAGCACCACTTTAGCTAATGGCGCCTCCTGCTGCCGCCGCGCTGCCAAAGCACGATTTCTGTTCTCATCCTGAAGCAAAGTTCTTAACCCGAGGTACTATTTCTGGGTTAGTGGAGTCTGTAACCTGAAGCGTATGTAACCCGAGGTACCACCGTACGTAAATCCGGCACTGATGGAGCCATGCTGCTTTGGCTGCCACTGACTGTGTTTTGCAGGGGGTTGGACTAGATGATCCTAAGGGTCTACAACTCCGACTAGAGAAGAGTGGCGGACAAAACTGATGAACGACGTTGAGATGGCAAAGCTTACAGGCAGAATTAGAAACCAGGAAGAGGACCTCTTTAATAAAGAATGGTGGAAGTTTATAATTTAGTTGAAAAGCTATTGTAAAGAGTTACATACATTGGTAGGATTGACAGAAAACTTGTAAAAAATTGAACTATGGATGGACAAATGATTTATAAAAATAGAGTTATGAAAGGGATGCAGAGGGATGCAGTAATCACTACATTAAGATGCTGCACTGGTTGGAGGGGATGCTAAGCAGCACGTTGGGGCTGCCGTCGTCTTGGAGCGAGGAGTTCCACCGGCCGTTCCCTACCAGAAAGGAAGAGAGAGAGGGAGGGAGGGAGAGAGAAAGAGGCGATAGAAGAATGGCAGATGAAAACGATGGATTTTTCGGAGCTAGCTGACCTAACGGGAAGAGTCCGCGACCAGGAGGAGGAGGAGTATCAGGAAGAGTGGATTAAATTTAACGATTACTAAATTAGATATGTTAAATTAAATTGACTGAAAACAGCTAGCAGATACTTAATTGGCTTAGGATTTTATATATGTTAAGTGTCGAATTAATAGGTTTAATTTCATAATGTGGAGATCTAAGGATGTTAACGTTTAGGTTAAATTTTATAAGAACTGTGATTTGGAAAACCGTTAAAAGGACGTGCAATGAAATTCAACCAAGGGGAAGCGAGGAGGTCACTTAACAATGTTAAGAAGTGTAATTTTCAATAAGGCTACGGTTTATGTTTGTTTGTCTTATGTGTCTGTTTATAATGTTGTGAAAACCAATAAAAAAATTGGAGGGAAAAAAGAGAGAGACCCTAGGTTGTGGGTCGACCCAGAAAAGACTTGCCTGAGGGTGGGGAACGAAGGGGTATTCTTAGTATTGTTGACGTCGTTCATTATTATCAGCGTTGTTGTTTTTCTGGAGAGAAATGTGGGGGAATTGACCAAGTTTGCTTGTTTCATAATGCGGAGATCTAAGGATGTTAACGTTTAGGTTAAATTTTATAAGATTTGGAAAACCGTTAAAAGGACATGCAATGAAATTCAACCAAGGGGAAGCGAGGAAGTCACTTAACAACGTTAAGAAGTGTAATCTCCAATAAGGCTATGGTTTATGTTTGTTTGTCTTATGTGTTTGTTTATAATGTTGTGAAAACCAATAAAAAGATTTTGAAAAAGGAGAGACAGAGGGAGCGAGGGAGGGAGAGGGACTCTCGCCCACGCCGCCCGCCAGCCCGGCATGAGGCGGTTGCGCTGCGGCCGCTGAAGCGCCGCCCTTCTGCGTCCCTCCTCTTCCTCCTCCTCCATTGGTAGGATTGACAAAAAATTTGAACTATGGGTGGACAAATGATTTATAAAAATAGTTTTGAAAGGGATGCAGAGGGGGAAATCACTACATTAAGATGCTGGACTGGTTGGAGGGGATGCTAAGCAGCACTTCGGGGCTGCCATCCTCTTGGAGCGAGGAGTTCCATCGGCCCTTCCTCGCCCGAGAAAGAGGGAGGGAGGGAGGGGGACTCTCGCCCACGCCGCCCGCCAGCCCGGCATGAGGCGGTTGCGGCGGCCGCTGAAGCGCCGCCCTTCTGCGTCCCTCCTCTTCCTCCTCCCTCAGGCCGCCTCCTCAGCCGCCGCCGCCGCCGCCTCCGGCTTCCCCTGGCAGCGCGGCGGAAGTCTCGCAAGAGAGGGGCTGCCTGCCCGCCCGCCCGCCGCCACCCGTCTCCTCACGACGCCCCTGAGGGGAAAAGGGAGAGACGGGGACGCGCGCTCTCTGCTCTCTCGAGACGGAGGACCCGGAGCCGCGGCTTCCCTCAGAGCCGGGCGAGCATGGCAGACGGAGCTCACGCCCTGCTCGGCGGCGGCGGCGGCAGCCGGGGCTCCAGCCCCTCCGCCAGCCCCCTCCTAGGCAGAGGGGGAAAGAGCCGCTCGCTCCCCACCACCACGTCGTCGTCTTCGTCGTCGTCCTCCGCCTCTTCGCTGCACCAGCAACGGCGGACGCCGCCCGCGTCGCCCAAGCAGCAGCCGCAGCAGCAGCAAGCGGCGTCTCGTGGGAACGCGCCCGGGCATTGCTTCAAGAGGGTGACCCTCACCAAGCCCACCTTCTGCCACTACTGCACCGACTTCATCTGGGGGCTGGCCGGGTACCTGTGCGAAGGTAAAGGCGGGCTCGGGGGGGGGGGAGAGAGAGGGAAAGCGGGAGCGCGCGCGCGCGCGCGTGGGAGACTCCTGCAAATCGATCGATCGATCGATCAATTAATTTGTATACCGCTCTCCAGCCGAAAATCTCAGGACGGTTCGCAGCATACAGATACCCCCCCCCACACACAAAAATACATAATAAAAAACAAGAACGTGAATCTCCTCACGACCCCTAGTGGGGGAATTACCAGTAGAAGAGATGCAGGGGTTTTTTCTTGTGTTAATTAATCAATTTGTTTATTGGTATGCTGCCCTCCACCCGAAGAATTCAGGTGGTTCATAACATATGAGTACAATGTACACGCAGGCACAGAATACATGATAAAAACAAGAATAATCTCCTCACGACCAGTATCGGGGAAATTATCCATAGAAGAATAATAGAATTGTTGGAAGGGACCTTAAGGGTCATCTAGGCCAACCCCCCTGCAATGCAGGAATATTTCGCCTAATGTGACGCTCGAAACTGTAACCCTGTGATTAAAAGTCTCCTGCTCTGCCGAATGAGCTGATGTGGTTATGTGTGAGACCCTGATTGATTAATTGATTGATTGATCTATCTATCTATTTATCTAGTTAGTTATTTTGTATGCTGCCCTCCATCCGAAGATCTGAGGGCGTTTCACAGCATACAAATGCATCACACACACACATAGACACACATGATACATAATAAAAGCAAGAACGTTAATCTCACAACTCCTGCTGGGGGTGTTATCAGTAGGAGAAATGTGGTTTTGGGTGGGTGTATGTGTGTGTTAGGGACAGATTTCATTTTTCTTCCTATTTTGGGTGAGTGGCAGCCTGTCCTCAAGAGAAAGGGTTAGGCAACAGACACACACTCTCTTTTTGCAAGGTCTCCTGTGCCTGCGAGCAGGCAGAAATGCAGCTGGTGAAGCTTTCTCAGTCACTTGATCTCCATACCAGCAGTAGATGCAAAGGACTTCCTTTTGTAAGTTTGCCAACATTTCCCTTCCTGGTGGTTCTTGTTTTGTCTTAAACCAGCCTCTCAGTGTGGGGTCCCCCCCCTTCCTCTGGCAATGAAACTGCTAGCACATTTGCAGGGCCCGGCGTGGTTTCAGATTGGATGGGGGGGCTGCACGTTCAGATTCCTACATTGCAGGGGGTGGCACTAGATGACCCTTAGACACCCCCCTTCCAACTCTATGATTCTGTGATTCATCTCTGTGTTGGGAAAAGCTTTTCCTGTTGCAGCAGCAGCAAATGCAAATCACTTTCCCTTGTAAGATTGCCAAGGTGGGGCTTCTGTTACTTAAATAGTTGCCTAACAGGTTGGTATCATTCGGGTGAAGCTGCTAGTGCCATTTATGTGCCGGTAAAAACTTACTGGGTTGCCATAGAGCCAGATGCCAGGGTCTTTCCCTTGTAGAGGTGGCTATGTATATGTATATGTATATGTATATGTGTAGGTATATATTCCTGACAAGATTTCTTTGTCTTGACATCTTGAGGTTTATCAGATGAAGCTTTCCTCATCACTTCATTTTGCCCTGGGAAAAACCTTCCTGTTGCACCACAGCTATAAGGGAATTCCCTCTTAATAGGCTTGCCAGTACTTGCAGGTCCCGTTATCCAAGCACTCGTTATATGAAAATTCACTTATCCAAACACGAGGAATTAGTACCCAAACCTTGCTGTACACACCACTGATTCAGATATCCAAACAGGCAGACCTATGTGTAGCCGTTTCACCAGAAACCATGGTGGGAGGGAGGGAGGAAATGGAGAGATTGGACAAATAAGAGAGATTTTACCCTTCTTTGTTTGCCTTTTGCAAGGTTTCAGAGGGTTTTTCTCTCGTTTTTTCATCGTTTTGGGGCCAAAATTCTGTGGTTTGGAACGCATTAGAAATTTCCCCATAGGAATAAATGGAAATTGTCAACTTCTTGTGCAAACATTCGCCTAAAAAACAATTTCCTGAGAATGCATTGTGTTTGGGTAGTGAGACCTGTGTACATTTGTCTCCTGAAAAGCTGCCTGGCAGGTAGAAACTTAGCAGCTGAGTCCTTTATCATAGTTTCCTCTCTGTTGCCAGAAACAAACTAGTCACATCATCTCAGAGCAAGTCATTCGGTGGAAGCTGGTTGTGTTAGACTTGATTACTCAAGAAACTCTGTCACCCACAGGTAGATTAGAATGCATAGGCTAGCAAACTGGTGCAACGTTTATGGTTTTCTGTGACTGGCTGTATGCCGTCTTAGCTGCCACTGAGATTCTATAGAAGATGGAAAAGGTGGGACTTACTCTCTTTTCGAGGGGTCAGAGATGAACAGATGCTTACAAAGGGTGTAAGTGTGAAACACCTTCTGTGTGCACTTGAGTCTTTTGGGACTGGCAGGGTCTTGGTCCTTCCATGCTGATGGGTTTCTGTTGGTGGGCTGAAGAGTTGTTCCTTAGTGTCCCTTGTTTTCTGCTATTTTCTGTGGTAAAACTGCCTCCTGTTCATGGACTGCTATTCTTCCATCTTGGAGGTCGGTAGGTCAACTTACGCAAATGGTATTGGTTTCACTAAAGTAGAAGAGAGAAGGGGGAATAGGGTTGAGCCCTCCCTCTGCTGCGCATGCTAGCCATGCCATGCATTTGGTGCACATGGCAAGAGGTTCTGTGCATGTACTGATGTACACTCATAGAGCTCCTTCATCTGAATGGGGATATTGGACCAGTCAGGATCACCTTTGCATGGAAAAACTCTGTTTAGACGCCAGTACGCCTGTAGAGGCTGCTTCTTATATGCATAGGAAGGGTGCCCAGTGTTAGAAACTCGGATATATAAGGTAATTGCCAAATGGCACCTTAGACCCAGGTTTCAGTCGCCATAATGGACTTTCTAGGTGCCTTTTTGGGCACAACTCCACCGGCCAGGGTATGACACTTCTGTTGTTTGTCTTTCTCTATCTTGCCTTCCACCAGAAACCTACATTTTATAGTTGAAATAAATACTGAAAAACCTGAAGGTTATTCTGAACAAAGAACTTAATTATCCTTTATTCAGAACTTGGATTATTTTCACTGTGGCGTGCATTCCGTCCTGTCTAGATTATTCTTTCTTTCTGAAACATGGTTTCGACATCCTTGTTAGTTTCAGGTAAAGATCCTTTTTCTTCCATCCAGCTGTTAGAGCCTGTTCAATATGATACTTTGCTACTTGGTCTTTATTGAGGGGGGAGCCAGTTTACTGGGAGAAAGATCTCCCCAGATAATTTGTTTTTTTCTCCATACAGTAAGGGGACCATGATAAAAAGGGGAAGGATCATCTGGCTTTGAGACTTGCTGCTCTTACCTACCTTGTATCCTGAGTGTAAAGCAAGTTATTGGACGCGTTGATCCTATTTGAAGTTTTATGCTATGCATAATTTCTGAGTCTGCAGGGCTGTTTCCTTCCCTTTCCTTTGGAGGAAGCAGCTGTTGTCCCTGTTTGTTCTTGATGCATTAGGGTCTAAACATCTTGACACGCCACACTGATCTGTTCTAACTTGCTAAGATGCAGACATCATAAGATGGCCTTGAGCACAAAGGTCGCATACAGAAGGGTGACATACGTTATTTAAAGATTTAGAGTGGCACTATGATTAAGCATTGCTCATATCCATATTACATAAAGAAGAGGGTGTGAGCTAGGTATGGAACCCAGGGAATGAGTCATATACTATATAGCTTGGTATAATTGAGCAATGCAGTAGTGTGTGTGTATTTATGCACCAGCCAGGAGTTCTTTTGCATCAACTAATTTGGAAGAAGTTTAAACCAAGAACACTGAAGTGCCTATTTTGCGTGTGAGAAGAGAGAGAATCTTATGCGAACTCACTTACAGAAGATTACACAAAAATGTTTATCATAACGAAGGAAAGTCTTGATGTAAAGGTGATACGTTATTGCTTGCCTTAATCATTACTTCAATGCAAAACCATAATATACTTATCATGAACATGTTCAGTAGATCTTTCCTTCCTTGTTTTCTAGTCCCTTCTTTAGCTGATAAACATTGAAATATTGACCCACAGATTAAGGACACGGGTGGCGCTGTGGTCTAAACCTCTGAGCCTAGGGCTTGCCGATCAAAAGGTCGGCGGTTTGAATCCCCGCGCCCTGCTCCTTCCAACCTAGCAGTTTGAAAGCACGTCAAAGTGCAAGTAGATAAATAGGTACCACTCCGGCGGGAAGGTAAATGGCGTTTCCGTGTGCTGCTCTGATTCACCAGAAGCAGGTTAGTCATGTTGGTCACATGACCTGGAAGCTGTACGCCAGCTCCCTCAGCCAATAAAGTGAGATGAGCGTCGCAACCCCAGAGTCGTCCGCGACTGGACCTAATGGTCAGGGGTCCCTTTACCTTTTTACTAATATTAGTCTCTTTTGTAAAGAACGTCATACTTCTCATGGCCTTTACGCAGCTTTTTTCCTTTCATCCCTGGTCCCATTTTAGTCAATAATCCAATTTCTGTCTCTTTCATAAGACTATACTTCTTTCCTTCCTACACACCTTGATAAATTACATTCATTATGAATGGTCCTTGGCTAGAGGAAAAGTCATCATAAAATGTCTGCTCAGTGTGGTTATGCTCTGAATGTTTTAAACAATGGATATAAAGTGTTTGAGGTGAACATTTGCAGTTAAGAAATAGCAATTTTGCCTGCATAATTGCACCTTTGAGTTCATCTATTTAGCTGTGTAGAATTTTTGACTCGGAGCAAATTAAAACAAAATTTAGGCATACAATTTGTTTTAAAGTACTTTGAAAATGTTCAGAAATGCTTTTTCAGGACTGCTACTGAAATGGGCTACATTTTAACCTAATTTTAACCTTTTTTACATCTCTGAAAACTTTATCCATAAGTTAGAAAAAAACAAGATTAATTACTATTTCTCATTAAAAAGAATTTTGGAGCAAATGGCAATACAAACAGCTCAGCCTACTTGGTTGGACTTGTATGCTTCCATCTCTAACTC